AGTCTCGACAAGTGGCAATTAGCTAGCACCAAAGGAACTTGGGTCTGAAGGGTACCCAAGGAGTGTGCTGAGGGACAGCTGTGGCTGATAGTACTGACTTCCCAGCAGCCAGTCACAGCCCTGGAGGGCACTGGTAACCAAACACTCAGGCAGGAGAAAGGAGCCATGGTGTGGATACTTCCACTTAGAAACACTATGAACACTTTTCTCTCTAACCCCCAGAAGGAAAATAGATACCTTGCTCTTAATAGCCCTCATTATAAGAACCACTTCAGAACCACCATCCAGAAAGCATCACAGGGAAACTTTACACTCTTTAGCTAGGCTTTCCAAAAATAGTCGAAGCTGTGAGTGAACGGGGCCTCATCTGTCCACCCACAGGAGAAGACGAAAGACCTTGGTATGCTGAAGAATGTTGAAAAGGGATTTGCATGTTAGGATGGAAAGAAGAGCTTTGCAAAAAGAGACAAAGGGATGGGGAACCAAATACAAGGATGAAGCCAGGCATGGTGGTGTGTACCTGTAATCCCAGCACTCTGGGAGGCCGAGACAGGAGAATTGCAAGTTCGAACATGGCCTGGGCAACTTAAAGAGACCCTATCTCAATGAATGAATGAACGAACAAACGAATGAATGGGGTTGTTATTAATTTATGTGCTGCCAGAGTGAGCACAAGGGGTGGTTATTCAAGTTTAGATTCTTACTGGCATCTGACCTCCAGTGGTCACAGTTCTGAGCTTGGCTTCACCTCACGTGGAGGTGAGGTGAGCATTCTGCCATTAAGAGGGAGCCACGCAGGGTGGAGTCCCAAGTGCCCCATGCTGTGCCCTGTGCTATGCCACACATGTGGCTTTTGCTTTTTACCCATTTCAGTGATCTCACCTATAACTCAGATCTGTCCCCTGTACTTACTGCATTAGCTCAGTGTGGGAGGACCATTACCCAGCCTCCTACCTTTCTATCTCCAGATTTAAGAGTCTGTTTCCTGAATAGATGATATTAATCATCCTTTCGGTGTTTTAGTTAGAATGTGTTTGGCTGCAAGTAATAGAAAACTTATCACAGTGTTTCAACAAGCAGGATTTTTCGTATGCAGAAGACAAGTCCTGAGGCGGATGTTGCTGGCACTGGTTCTGTAACCTTCACCTGAGAATTGTGTGAGTTGCTTGTTGGTCTCTTCTTTCATTAGCCTTTCCCTTATGGTGCTGAGATGGCTTCTTAAGCTCAGTTCATCACATCTACATTCATGGCAAGGGGGAGGAGGTAGGAGGGTGGTGCCGCATACTTTCCTTGGAAACTCCTGTGTTAGATTTCGTAGGTCTCATTGTAGTCCTGGGTCGCTAGCCCCTTCCCCCACAAAATAAAGAGATTTCTGTGATTGGCTTGCACCAGGCTTTCATTTTCCATCACCTAGAAAATTTTCCACTGCAGACAAATTTGAGATTCTCTTAAGCTAAGAGAAAAGAAAAAGGATTTTTTGGGGGGACAGGGTCTTGCTTTTATAGTTCCAGGGACCTTCAACGTTAAGAAATCCTCCCGCCTCAGCTTCCCATGTGCCGAAATTATAGGCATGTACCACCGTGCCCACCAAAAAAGGGAATTTGGAATAAGCACAAGCAGTGTCTTCCACAGGTCTTCAGTGGCCAAGGCCAAAAGAAGCAACAAATAAAAGCAAGCCCTGCTTCCCCTTTCATTCTCCGTGATGATGATAATGATTTTGATTAAAATTATTACACAAAAGACTGCAGAAAATGACCTTAATAAGCAAAGACTTGAGAATTTGGCACCGTGTTGCAGAAACCTTTGATCCATGGATTTCATGTACAGGAATGTGTTCTGCAGAAATTATTGTAACTGAGTCCAAAGATTTAGCTACAAGGATGTTCTCTGCAGCATCATTTATAAGAATGGGGGTGGGGAGAGAAGGAGGTGAAGAGGGACCCGAGAGGGCCGGTTTGAGGGAGGAGAGAGGGAGGAAGGAATCTCAATGTCCCGTAGTAGAAATTGTTTAACTCAGGCTGTCTTTCAGTATATTCTTAGTTTTACAGCAACTGAGATAATGTGGTAGAAGATGTTATAACCACTTGGAAGTGTTGCCATACTGTTAACTTCAAAAGAGGTTATAAAATGACATGTGCACCGTCATTCTGTTTTTTAAAAGAACCATGTGGGAAATACGTGAGATGGATGCATATATACAGATAGATAACTTCAGTTGATGTGGTTAGTGCTTATCACTGGGTCTTAGGGCTATAGGTTTTAAAAAATGTATTTTTTTGTAAACTGTGGTTTTGAAGTTTACAAGCATATATGCTCTTTTAAATAATAGGGGGGGTGTTAGACAACCTGAGAACTGGAGGGATTTCCCACAAAGGACAGTCCCGGGGCACCAGGGCCCGGGCTCTCTTCACAGGACTGTGAAGGCAGTGCCCTCCCTCTGTTCTGCAGGCGCTTAGGGCTGCTTCCGGTTTTTCATTACTGTGGATAATGCTAGGATTATGATTGTTGTATTGAAGGCCTTTTTTTTCATGTTCTCCTTTATTTTCACAGAATAGTTTCGCAGAAGTGATATCACTGAGTCAGTAGGTATAAAGGTTTTTTTTCTGCTCATGATTCGCATTTCCAAATTGCTTCTCAGTGGGCCTGTACCAAAACACAACGCTACCAGAAAGATCTTGCCAGTGCTGGGGTTTATAATTGTATTTAGTGTTTGCTAATTTAGCAGGCAAAGAATGGCAGCTCATTATTTTGATTTGCATTTCCAGCAAGGCTGAATGATCTTTTCTGTAAGTTGTTCAGTTGTTTTATTTTTAATTCATAGATCTTGCCATTTATCTGTTGGGGTTTTCATATTTTCCTTTTCATCTTGTACAGACTCTTTCTATAGTGAAAAACAATAGCCCTTTTTCTGTGGGCCTAGCCTAGCTATGGATATTTCCCCCAGGCTGTTGTTTTCCTTCTGAGTTCGTTTTTTTCCCCCATTTTATATTCAAAAGTTTTTAATTATGTACTCAGTGGCCTGTCACTTTTGTGACGTTTTTGTTGTTGTTTCTTCCAGTTTTAGAAATTTACCCCTTCACCCCTCAAGCAGAAGTTTGATAAATGTTCAATTCTGTTTGCATCCTGATTTTTAAAGATTACACTTTTTTTTTCATACTTCCCTCTTTAACTTATTAGTAATGTATCATGCCAGAAGTCTGGTAAGGATTTAAATGCCACCCCCCCCATTTACTAAAGTGAAATTATACGTGAAGAAATCTTTCTCATTAATTTAGCACTCTTCTTTGGTGATAGCTGATTTTTCTCTAACTGGAAGGGCCCACTCCTCACCTGCGTGTTCCGTTCCATCTTGAATCTGCTAGTAACGTCATTTTCGATCATGTATTTGATACAGCTTTTCCTATTTCAGGAAGTTCTAAACTTATTTTCTGGAATTCTCTTCGTGGTTTATACCTATTTGAATACAAACAACATCCTCTACAGACTTGAGGTCCTCGGCCGGCCGGAGCCAGGTCTTCGGCCTGTAGTATTGTCTCCTTCCTCAGTGAATCAGATTCCCTCTGGCTGCTTTCTGCCAGGTGTGTGGGGAGGGGCAGGGACTCTGCCATCGAGCAGTTCAAGACAAGATGTTTTTACTGAAGGAGTCCCCAAAAAGAGGAAAGGGGTTTTGTGCATCCCTGCTGAGTCTCGTGGTTTTAAGCACAGGTAATATGATTTCCCACTGACAGCTCTGAGGAATTAAGCATACAGCCCCGTGACTGTGGCTTTATTAATGGGCCTTGTGGAAGCAGTACCAGGTGAAACAGAAAAGCTGCCCTTCTCCACCTAGACCAGTGATGGCAAACCTCTTACCCTTGATCTTAGCCAAAAGGCCAAGAAGCGATGGTGAGCCTTGTAGAGCTTTCAGTGATAATAAACAGCCCACTGTGGCATGCGGGCCATGGGTTCGCCACCACTGCCCTAGACCCTGGTGCAGCAGGGCTCACCAGCACCTGTTACCTGTCATGGTTTCCCAAGGCAGACTGCTGCTGCTGGTGTTGTGAAAACACTGCGAGGAGAGCCTGTGCTCACAGACAAGTGAGTCCTCAGCAAGACCTCAGGATTTTCTGCAGCCCTGCACCCCGCTAGCTCTTTTTGTTTCTCAGCAGTCATGTTTGAGCTTCCCCTTGCTTTGTAATATGGGTGCTGCCTATTAGCATTGCCTGTGGTGTGTTCAGACAGTATATTTGCTAATTAAATTCCATTGCCTTGTGGGTGACTGTGAGCCAGTGATTGATATGATTGCCCTGAGGTTTTAAAGAAAATTTTTGTTATGAAAATATTAAAACATTAAAAAACAGAAGGCATAGAATAATGAGCACATGTACAAATCACCTAGATTTCAAGTCATTAACATTAACACACTTCATCTCTTTTATTGTTGTTGAAATACTTTATAGCAGATTGAAGGATGATTAAGCATCTCATCGTAAGCCACACATTGCATTTTACTGTTTTGTATCTTAAGCTTTTAAAACCTAGCGTACTGTACTCCTTTCTCCAAATCTTTTGGGTGTTTTTCTTTTTCGTGACATGGACCTACAAGCCTTTGAAACAGGAAATTTGATACCAGAGAGCCATGTGTCTCTCCCTCTTTTAACAAAATGCCAGTAGGGTTTGTGAAGTTTTTCAGATTCCTTCTGTGATGGGACTGTATTTCTTCTGTTGCTTTTGTGTTAATTACTGTTAATCTGGGGTTTTAAATCTGTTTTTAATATTTCATTATTAAGCCAGCTTCTGTCTTCTGAGATTTACTCAAGCCTTGTCTTGGCCAATAGTGTTTACTGAAGAGAAAAGAGGCATTCTTTAAACTCATTTCTTTTTAATCTCAAATAAAATTCTTCTGGCTTTATATGAAATTTATTGGGTTAAAACTGGATACAAAATAATAAAGATGGGTTCTGAATAGTGGCCATGAAGAAAATTAATAACCATTCTTAATAACTGTTCTTCATGTTCAGTTTGCAGAGAAATTTCAGGAGGTAAAAGAAGCTGCCAAACTGGCCAGAGAAAAGTCCCAGGAGAAAATCGAGACCACGAGTAATCATTCCCAGGTAAGTAATTTGTGCACACAATAAATTGAGTGTGATCAGTGATTGAGATGCCTCATCCCGTCACTCTTGGCAAGAGATAGAGGATTCTAGCAGTAGGGCATGTTGAAGGCCTTTTCAACTCTTAGCCTGCTCACAGTGAGATGGAGGTGACATGTTTTTATGAGACTTGAATTTTTCAAGATGTGGTACTGTAATTTTTGACAGGAAATGGTTGATGGAATTGGAGTTAATGCGGGTTCCCAGCCCCTGAGCTACATTCTGTGGTCACTGTTCACAGCCAGTGGGGAGGCAGCTCTCTTCCTAGCTGCGGGGAGGCGAGCCCCCCACAGGCGAGCCCCCACCCCCAGGATGCTCATCAGCCGCGGACGCCTTGTGCCCATTAGAGGGGAGCCATGTCTCGCTCCCTGTCTTAATGAAATTCAAGTGGGAGAGGGTATTCCCACAGCTGTGTCTCAGTTGGAGGAGAGCCTCTGTGTCAGTAATTGAGCGATCTGTCTGCTTAGAAGTGTGATGATTAACTAAGAAGGACCCATTTTAGCCAGACATAAAGTACCAGCATTCTTGGTGTCTGCGTTGTATATGGAGTGAAAGGCTTGGCAGAAAAACTCACGGAAGAGGAGACTTCAGGACCAGCACGATGGCCTGGCTGGACAGGACAAGCAGCTGTGCCAGAACACTGTGCGAGACCTGCCATTCCTCAGCAGCGAGCAGTTTATTTACTAGTGGTTTGCTTGTGCCTGGTAGTCGTGGACAGTGGAGGTGTCCATGACCATTGACCAGGAATGGCATGAGGGTCACGGACACGGTGAGGCAGGTAGGGAGTGACGCCGTGAAGGCGGGAGAAGGACAGAGGCAGCCACAGTTCAAATAAGGAAGGGACAGATGTCCGGGACAGCACCAACGGCGAAAAGCAGGAGGTCTGGGCGTCTGGAACTGCCAGGCTCCGCTGAAGCCCTGACTGTCAGCCTCCCAGAGCAGTGAGGAGAGTGAGGCAGGAGCCGGAGCCTGGGAAGGCGGGAGTCCACAAAGAAGGCAGAGAAGGGAAGTTCCAGCATCACCGCCTTCCCGGTAGGGGTGGCTTCAGCATTCGGCACTCAGAGCAGGGCAGGGAGCACCTCGGGCCCTGGCACTGCCAGAGACTTGGCCGCTTGGGCTGCTTCACAAAGGTAGAATTTAGGTCTTTTATTTCTTTTATTTATTTATTTATTTTTACAATATTGGACCTTTGCACTGCCCTACCTCCTCAGCTCCCTTTTTTATTTTGAGACAGGGTCTAGCTGAGCTTCCCAGGCTAGGCTCCAACTTGGTAATCCTTCTGCCTCAGCCTCCCAGAGTGGTATGTGCATAGGTAGGTCTGTCTTGAATTTTTTTCCCAGCACCTTGGCCTGGGCTTGTCGTACAAAAGATGCCCCTGGTGGATTTATGGAAATGAAAGTGTATGAGGCTGCAGGTGGACAACAACTCTCCTGAACCTTTCTGAATAACTGTAATTTAATCTAAGTGCTACTGGTTAATTTAGTGTACCAATTACTTAGTAATGTCTGAGGAGCTATAAAACTGGACACAAGTTTTATAGAAATTTTTTCTAGTCTAGAGACTTGCTAATACACGGTCTTGGTCTTGCTGGGGACAGTGGCACACATACCTATAATCTCAGCTACTTAGGAGGCTGAGGCAAGAAGATCGCAAGTCAAGGCCAGCCTGGGCTCCATAGTGAGAACCCCATCTCAAAACAAATAAAACAAAACAAAACTATATATAAAAACTATATATATAGTCTTTTTCAGAATATCATATATTATAGACCTCTCTTTAAACTTAAAAGTCAGAATTTCTCTGTAGATGGTTTTGTTTTAATATTTGTCCCCCCAAAAGTATTTTAAACCTTAAAAAAAAGTATATCCAATAAAATATCGTTGTGTATATATTAATTATATAGAAATGTTTTTCTCTCAAAGCTTTACTTTTGTTTACCTTTCCTGATATTTCACCAGAGAGAGAGCATTGTATAGTTTTTTCTTTTTATTAGAAATCAGTCGCTTATTTTCCTGAATCTCTTAGAGAATGAATACTTTGACCCAGTTTTCCCAGTAGTTGAAGATTTAAGCAGCCTAATTACAAAAACCGTAAGGATTTTGTGGCTATTAAAACAATACATGTTTATTGTATAAATAAAGCATGTATCATACTTGAAGAAGAGAATGAAAATCACCTGCTCTGTCCCTATTCAAAATTGTTTTAATGGCCAAATAGTATTCCAGTGGGGACATGACTTACTCCACTAAGCTCTTAGAATGTGGGACATCTGTGCTGTTTCTAGCTTTTCATCAACATAAATAACACGGCAGCGATGCATGTTCTTGCCGATCTTTATATGTGTTAAGGTTTCTTCAGGATGAATTCTTGAACAGGAGGTACGGGTTGCAGGCAGGGATGTGTTTAAAGCTTTTGATACACACTGTACACTGCCTACAGAAGCATACAATTCCTACTCCCACCAGCAATGAATAAGGGTTTTTCTTCCTACACCATCACTAAGAAAGCTTTGTTGATTTGACAGATGAAAAATGTATCTCATTGGCTTTTTTAATCTTTTATTTTTTTCTAATGACATTAAATATTTTTGTTTATATGTATTTTTCTTCTGTAAATATTAATAGTCCTTTTCCTTTTTTAAAAAAAGTTATATTTTTTGTATTGATTTCCTAAGGGCTTTACATATTTTCTTTAACCTGACAAATTTTGAACACATATAAAACCAGGCAGAATTGTACAATGAACCTCCAGGTACCCATAGGTCAGCTTTATTAATTAGGAATTTTTAACCAGTTGTTCTATCTATCACCCCCATTTCTGCTCTTTTATCCGTATTTTAAAGCAAATCCCAGATATATTATTTCATCCATAAATACTTCAGTGCATAGCTCTAAAAGATAAGAACTCTTTCAGGGTTCCTCTGCTGGGTGTGGTGGTGCGTGCCTATAAACCAAGCACTTGGGAGACTGAGGCAGGAGAATCACCATGAGTTCAAGGCCAGCCTGTGCTACATGGTGAGTTCAGGGCCAGCTGGAACTGCATAACGAGACCTGTCTCAAAAGAAAACGAGTTCTTCAGTAAAGAAAAGGCATTAACATTTTGCATATAACATCTGCTGCAAATACTTTCCCCAGGTTTTGTTTGCATTTTAATCTTGTTCATGACTCTTTTTTTTTGCAGTGCAGGAATGTAAAATTAGTCAAATTTATACATGATTCCCTTCATAGTGCTTTCCTTTGCCTTTATGCTTATTGGAGGCTAAATAAAATCTAAGATCTTATCCAAGACCAGATGAGATTTCACCTCCCTGTGGTCTGGCTTATTGCAGAGAACACTTTAGGATATTCATAACAATGCGAAGTGGTAATGGAGACAGCAACACCCATATCTGGCTCCTGGTTTTTAAATGGATCTGATGATCTAACTCCCTATAGCCCAAGGATTTTTTAAAGTTTTTTCCACTTTAATACTTCTTCTCTGCCTTCATTCACTATGACTTGTTCTTTTTTATTGTAAACCCACCATCCCTTTTAACCTGTTCCTTCTATCCTATGGCACTTAAGAAGTCCAGATATTCAAGCTTGCTAGGTCTGTCTGTAAAGTTTAAATTAAAAAGGAGTGGCCCCAGGTGTTCTCTTGTCAGTAAAGTGGGCAGACTTTATGGTCTCCGCGTCGCTTTTGAGGGTATTTCCCCTGTAACTGATGGCCTTTGTTAGCCCCTCTTTTGCTTAATAGTGTTCACTGCCTTCTGGTTGAGTAAGTTGGTTTGTCCACACTCACAAACACGTAGTTTCTCACTGTGCCTAATTTGCTGCCAACGTGGGGACAAGCAGTAATGTGTGGAGACAATTCACTTTGGCCAGAAATCTGGGTGTGAAACCCCGTCTTCTACTCAGGCATCCAGCGTGAACGGGACAGACGATGAAAAGGCCTCTCACGCAGGTCCAGCCGACACGCACCTCAAGTCTGAGAACGACAAGCTGAAGATCGCGCTGACGCAGAGGTGAGCCTGGTTAAAACCCAGGGCCTGTTGTGTCCTCATTCAGCACTTCCTGGGGGACGGGGTTTCACAGAAGTGAGAGAAGACTGGGCCCTGCTCACAGCCTCCTCTCTTGTCTCCTGGTCAAAGGAAAACCAAGAGGCTTCACATTCATGGCCCTTCTCTGTCTGGCCAACCACTTCAACAGCAGTATGTGTGTGAAAGTGTGGAGTGTATGTGTGAGAGCGAGAGTGCAAGTATGTGGGGCAGTGAATTGTGTGTGAGGAACGGTTCATGAGTGTGGGGAACAGTTCATAGGTACAAGAGAGTATATGGGATGTCCCTGTGACTGGGCTTTGTTTTTGAGGAGACACACATCATTTATTCATATGTAATAAGATTGAGTTTTAAAGATCCAACAAAAGCATATAAAAACCTAAGAAACAATGAAAAATTATATGAAATCACATGAAAGTCAGTAAGCAAAAAGCGTCACATAGGTACATGGTATATGTACTTGAGGAAGAGAGTTCCTTTACTGTTTGAACTGGGACCATAAAATATACATATGAATGAACTCGACAAAAACCGTACAATACCTGCCTGAAGCAATCTTTAAAATGATTTTGAGGTCCATAAATCAATCATTTAACAGATAGAAAGATACATATTTTCTCCTTTAAAAATATATTTTTCCAGTTGACCATATCTGTACATATTTATGAAGTATGGTGTGACATTAAATGTATGTGTACAGTGCATAATGGTCTGAATAAGAGGCATATCCTTCACCCCAACACAAAGCAATGTATTCTTTTGGGAGGTGGTGAGAAGACTTGATATTTTGTAAGGGATCAGTTTCTGCCAAGTAGATCTACACACTTAATGTGATCCCCAAACTGGAATCCAGAAGATTTAAATTTTTAACAATGATACAAGCTGTGCTTATATTTCTGTGTCTGGAGGACCTTGGCGCCTTCAGGTCATCTTGCTCGCCTGGCCAGGTGCATCAGCCACCCCCAACCTTCTCTCTGTGCCTGAGAAGCTGCCCTCCCAGGCTTGCCAGTTTAAGAGCTGTGTCATCTTAAGAGCTATCCTGTCTAACTTCCCACATTGTACAGATGAGGAAACTGAGTCCCAGGTGGTCAAGTGACTCTCAGGCCAAGGTCACGCAGCTAAAAGTAAATCTTCCCATCGCCCGTGCTGCCTGTCTTTCACTCAGGGCTGCAGTTAAGAATGTCCCACAGACAGCCAATCATATTCCACAGCTGGAGCCACCGCAGGGCTGGCCCTTGCCTCCCCGGTCAGCTGGCCTGGCTCATGGTTATTGCTTACTTCCTGTGGCCGGACCTGGGAATCCAGAAAGCAACTTCTGCCTTTAGACTCTGGGTCATTGTCAGGTGAAAGACAAAACTGTGACCGGTCTATTTTCTTACTTGTCAGGCAATTGTGAGGAATTAGTTGTTTAAATCACATTGGGCTGCAGATGAAAAGGTTTCATCCCTACAAATAAATGTTTTCAAATGTGAGTTTAGTGAACAAGTGAATTACAGGAATGGATGTGAAGCCACTTTCCTAAATCAGCTTAAACTCTCAGTCACCAACTCTAGAATTCATCAGATAATAACATTTTACTATTTTTTCAGTCTGTGGTATTTGAAACTGAAAGTGTATTTTCCAGTCACATTCCTAGCGTCTTGAGGCTGTGGGCCGAAAGATAACACAGATTACTCAGTCACAGTTGCATTTGCTTTAAAAAAATTTTAAGAGGCCTTTAGAAAGAGGACTCTCCTCAGCCAGACATGAACTTATGGGCTTGTCACGTGTAGCTTGGCCTGTCACCTTAGGTCACATTCAGCACCACAGATTGTGGGTTCAAGAGGAGAAAGGAAAGGGACTGTTAAGGAAACAGTGACCAGTGACTGAGGAGAACCTAATTCCTGTTTGTTTTAAACCTCATCCTCACTGAGCACACAGAATAAGAAGTAAAACGGGGCCTCTGTGGTGAGGGTAGAGGTGTTCCATAGACCTCCATCTCCTCACACCCCTGAGGTGACAAGGTCACGGGGCAGCAGGTGCTCCTTCCCACACACAGGGTGGGACGCCCATTCTGCTCACAAGAGGCTGATTCCCAGTCGCTGTCTCCCCGGGCCCTAAGCTCTCAGCTGTCAAGTCTGGATTCCCCTCAGAGCCCTGAAAAGGCATGAGTGATGTGACGCCATTTTTATATGGAGCTGGGTTGTCTGTCTGCATGTTATTTAAACCTGAAGTCCTTGGGCTCCAGAGAGGTGTGCGTGGCTTTCAGGAGCCCCTCAGAGGGCCCAAAGTCTACCCCAGGGTATAGAGCCTCTGTCCTCAGGCTTATTTCAGGAAGCGCGTTCTGTGCAGGGGGTCAGCAGGGAATGAAGCTCTGTCTCTTCATTCTTTAAGACCTTGGTTCTCTTCTAAGGTAATTTTTTAAGAGAGTAGCCCAGTGAAGTGACATGTTTACCCTAGAGAGAGGCCCTGTCCCTTGTGGGTGTTGGTCCATGCAGCCAGCAACCCACCTAGCTCCTGGTGAGAGAGAGTATGGGCCCCCCTCGGCCAGTCTGAGGGGGGACAGGGTCCCCCTTCCCCGGGTGGGTGGAGATGCAGTGTAATGGACAGCACCCTCATCTCCCTCCCTGGCATCCCCATCTGCATCCACCCTGTCTCCTGCCTTGCAGTGCTGCCAATGTGAAGAAATGGGAGATAGAGTTGCAGACCCTGCGGGAGAGCAACGCCCGGCTGACCACGGCGCTGCAAGAGTCGGCAGCCAGTGTGGAGCAGTGGAAGAAGCAGTTCTCCATCTGCCGGGATGAGAATGACCGGCTCCGCCACAAGGTGGGCCTCAGGGACCCACAGCAGGAGGCAAGGCGGGGTGGGAGTCGCAGGAGATGGGATGGCCAGGTCCTCTCTGTCCTGCCTTGCCCTCCCTCTCACTTTGCCCTCCCCGACGGGCAGGAGGAAGACTTGCTGCCTCTCCACTTGGAATATCCCTCCATCTCCCTGCCTTTCCTAGTAGAAATGGACCATGTAAACTATTGATTTATTACTGTTATGGAAGCAAGCTTTATATAATTCCTACTGTTAAAGGAGAAGATGAATGAACAAGGCTGTGACCTTGTCCCTCTCAGAGGCTCCTCTGGTGCCCGTCATAGGTGGCCTTGGATGTGGATGCCCTTCCCTGGCGTTTCTGTGGCACCATGATCTTTAGTGGAGGAAGGGGACCGAGGGGAGGAGAGAAAAAACATCCAGGAAATAGTGAGGCGCATCTCCTCAGAAGCCCCACTTCCCTTCAGACCATAGTTTTTAAAATGCAAATTTAGAAGTGAGAAAAGATTATGCTGCTTATAAAGCACAAGGAAGGTGGGCGCTGATTGCTGTTGGATGCGTTCTACTTCCCGACTTTGAAGTCCTAGCATTTAGCTTTTCAAAATCCACCTGTAACCTTGCCCGCAAGAGTCACTGTTGCTCTGCCCTTCTTCCCAGTTGAGAAGGGAGTGTTAGAGCGGCTGAGAGTCCTTGTTGAGGTCCTGCGCTTCCTGTGCTGTCCATGTTGTGGTAGTGAGACCCTAGCCACCCCAGCATGGGCACACAGGCTCTGGACCCTGCTGCGTAAGTGCAGGCCTTTGGCGGACACCTCACATTTAAGCTGATGTTCACTGTCCCCCAACCCACATGTGTGACCTGCTCTGCCCAACCTGGGCAAGCTGCGGTAGATCAGCTGTAGGTTGCACATAAAGCTGCCTTGTGTCATTTTTTCATCTCAGCATTGAAAGTGCTGACAGTTGGAGGCACCAGGCCAACTGCTGACTCTGTACCTTCCTGACCAAGGCCTGGCAGATCTGCCATGGGGATCAATAGCCCTTTCTCTTATTCAAGGAAAGAGCTGAGCTTTTCTAGTCTGAGCATGGAAATCATAGGCAGTGGGAAAGGGGTGGGATATGTTTCCTTGGAGGAGGGTGGCCCTTCCTGAGGGTACACGTCAGGAGCTTGATTTCCAGGATGGAGGTGGCAGCTGGTGGCAGTTGGTGCAGGCCACCTCTGAGAAGTGTCCTCTTGCCAACCACCCATGATGTCAAAGGCTGCTGTGACTTGTGGGGACCCCATCATCATGTTGCTTTCATGTTAGGCATTAGTTATCCTCCTGCCATCCACTCTGTGTATGTCTTTGGGTCCTCGAGAAATGCTCAGCGTTGGGTGGCAGTGGGGTGTCGGCCTCTGCACACTCATCCCACACTGGCACCCTTTGGAGCGGTCAGACCTGGGAAGGAGGAAGAGATAGAGCCCTGGAATTTGCCTTCAGTCTCAAGGAAGACTGGACAGGCCTCTCTGCATGCATCAAGGGGAGGGCCACCTTTGTGCTCAGGGTTTGAAATGTCATTGTTTCCTGTTTGGGAGCCACTGACCCCCTACCATGCTGGCTTAAACCTTTGACATGAAACAGAATAATTTAGAACATGTAAAAATCGTTTGGGGAACATCTGGGGTGTGACAGATCTTTAAAAGAAATCCCTCTGTGGCCACAAGAGAAAACCAGAAGTCCAGAGTATCCAAAACTTGGAGCTTGTTCATAGCCACAGAAAAAATGTGTTGAGTGGGTTGGTTTGTGGCTTATTTTTAAAGAAAGCATAAAATATCTGTGGGAGTCTCCTGTTTAATGACTAAAGTCAACTAGCATCCCTGCTTTACTGTATGTTGTCTGTGGAAGATTGACGAGCTAGAAGAACAGTGCAATGAGATAAACAGAGAAAAAGAGAAGAATTCGCAGCTGAAGCGGAGAATCGAAGAACTAGAGTCAGAACTCCGAGAGAAGGAGACGGTGAGTAACAGGGCTCGAGCAGGGCCCTTGGCATCCTCTGACCTCTGCTTTCTACCGTGAACACAGCAGGTGTCCTGGAGCATATGACCAGCCCTGGGCCAGGGCACCAAGACAGAGAGCCAAGTGTCAAACCAATGTGCAGATTCTAGAGCAGAGCAAGGTCTCACCATCACTCTGCAGCCTCGCATTGTGTTGAGGATACACAGTCAGTGACTCAGACCCAAGAGTGAGTTAAACATTTCGCAGAAAACCCCAGTGCTTCTGTGGGTCATCTGTCATCACAAATTAATGGAGCTAGAGCTACCGTGCAGTCATTTACATTCTGGGAGTTAGGACAGTTAAGTACACACACATTAGACACCATGGGCAAGTTACCAAGCCTCTCTAAGTCTTAGTTTCCCCATCTGCAAAACAGAAATCATAAAGATACACACCTCTTTCTGGTGGTGTGTAGACACCTGCAGACACCTGTGATCGTGCATGTAACACAATTAGCTCCTGGGATCTCCTCATGTTTAAGAGTAGCATCATCGACATTATTATTTTTGCAGACCGGACAGGTTCCAACACTGACACTCATTAGTGCCTGTACATGTTAATGATTTTCAAGAATACATCTCTCTGAGTGTTTTTGAAAATTTCTGTCTCCTATAGGAGTTGAAAGATCTCCGAAAACAAAGTGAAATCATACCTCAGCTCATGTCAGAGTGTGAATATGTCTCTGAGAAGTTAGAGGTAAGAGGGTATGCATCTGTGCTGGCTCAGATGAGAAGGTGGTGGTCATGTTAACTGATTTCTTCCCTCCCTGTCACTTTTACACTCAGGATGGCAAAGAAGAGTAATTTTCTATTCGTAAGAAGCTGGCAATGATTGCCCACCACCCTGGTCCCTGGGGCAGCCTCAGCAGCCTTGGTCTTTGGTTTTGCCCCCTACACAAAGGATGCACATAACCACCATCCAGGGCACACAGAGACAGTGAAGAGAGGGCACTGGGGTGGCCTGACAGCACAGGGTCAAGGCACAAGTCCACAGCAGGCACTGCCTGGTCCCTAACTTTGGGCATCACTGTGGACGGGCCTTCCTCGCTGATCCATAAAACGAGGGTGTTCAGGTGCTCCTTCACCTTCAGGTCTCCGCACCTTAGGCCCCGTGACTACATAAGGAGCACTTCCTTGAGTTACACAAGCCCACTTCTGTATTGGTGACTGGTTCCTGGGCACATGTCCAAGAAAGCCCCAGTCTGTGCCCACAGAATAAAACTCTCGTTTGACATGAAGAGTGCGTGCAAGGCTCAGATGTCCTTTGAGGGCACACAGCTGTCCAGTCTGATTTACCCAATTGCCGCTCAACTTGTAGGGCCCAGTGCAGAAGGCCCTCCTGGTGACAGCATCAGAGGCGCAGAGATGCCTGTCGCCATGTAACAAGCATAGCTTGCGTTCCCTCTCCAGGGCCAGACATTGGCCTGAGGCTGAGGAGGCCTCTTGGAACTGCAGGACACTAGCCACTGTTCCTCTCAGGGTGGAACCCAAAGGTGGCCTCTGCTGACCAGCCTGGGGCTGACAGTTCCCAAGCCAGGGCTTCAGACCATCTCCAACAGACCCTGTGTGACATCCCTGTGGAAGAACTCTGCATTCTGCATCCTGGGCTTGGACTTGGGTTTTGGGCCAGGTGTTAGTCCCCCCAGTTGGCCTTTTGGTCCCCCCACCGGGGAACAGGCAGGGAAAGAAGAGCCCTGAAATGCCCGCTACCTCCTTTCCAAGATCACAGTCCAGGCTTCTGTGTTGAGGAGCTGAACTTGTCTTACGACTTAGCACCCAGCCCAGCCTACGGGTCTGATGGAGGAAGCCCTGTTCACGGGAGCAGGCTCTGCCAATGGCTGCCATTACTGTGTCCTAGACCCTTCTCCCTTTTTGTTTTCTTAGGCAGCAGAGAGAGACAATCAGAACCTGGAAGACAAAGTGCGGTCTCTAAAGACGGACATTGAGGAGAGTAAATACCGACAGCGCCACCTGAAGGTGGAGCTGAAGAGCTTCCTGGAGGTGCTGGACGGGAAGATCGACGACCTTCATGACTTCCGCAGAGGCCTCTCCAAGCTGGGCACGGACAACTAGGGCGGTGGAGACCGGGATGCTGTGAGTCCCACGTGTGTGTGAGTCGCAGTAGGACTAGGACACGCTCCTCTTTGCGTTGCTTCTGTAAATGCCGGCGCAGTGTGTCATGTGTCCAGACCAGGTGTGCGTCCACTTGCTCCTCTCTGGAATAGAAATCTCCTCTTGCTTCTCTGGCCTTTGAGGTTGTGGACAACTGGAAGATTCTGACTCAGGAATCCAGAACTAGGTCTACCTTAAACGTTTACGCAGTCAGGGCAGGGATGTTTATATCTTTCTTAAGGGCTGTTGCAACCCTATAACTTAAAAACAAGTCTTTTCTAATCCTAATGTCAGTATCCTTTATGACAGGCCATCTTGCTCCTTTGGTTTTTTTTTGTTTTTGTTTTTGTTTTTTTTGCTCCTTTGGTTGAACAGTACCCAGAGTATGTAATTGCCCACCAGGTTCCAGTCTGTGGGAGTGTGGGGAGTACAACTTCTCTGTCAGTCAACACTGGGATGCTTTAAAGCAAGCCTGTAGTGGAGACCTGTCCAGAGAAAAAAAGCACATTTCTGGCAGGTGTGCCTTTTGGCCTAGGAGATGCTTGCCTCCACCACACTCCCTTCTCCATTATATTCGGTTGCGACAGTCCTCCTTTCCTTGGTTTGAATTTCTGAGCAGATGTTCATGCTGTGGGAACAATGTGCAGTGAGGGTGCCTAGCTCAGTGCCTGGCACGAAGTAGGTGCTCAATAAATATTTGTTCAATTAAACGTCTAAACAGAACTTAATGTTTTAATCAAACCTCACAGTGGAGTCAGACTTGTTGAATGACACGCTCTTTGTTGAGCTAGGTAGTTATCAGAAAGAAAGACACCAGCCGGCCAAACCCAAGAGTGGCTCACATGTAGCAGACACATCAGAGGTTGGTGTGAGGCCCCCCAAGAACTTGGCCGTGATGCTCCAACCCCGGGGGGTCTCTGTCCCCAGGGGTCTTTGCCCCTGGGACCATATTCACTTCCAGTCATGGTGGCCTGAGAATTCCTGAACACTGTGTGGCACCCCAGGGCTTGGGGACTAGGGTGTGATCTTACGAAGGGTTGGAGAGCTGAGAGAGAAATTGTACAGGCCCATGACGGTGAGAAAGGAGGTGTGCTCATCCTGGGAGCTTTGGTCTCAACAGCAGAGCAGCTCTGCCCGGGTCTGCTCTGGCCTTTTGCGGTTCCTGCTAAGGAAGAGACTTGAACCATAAACCTCTCCTCTCATACAGAGCTGCTCATGGGGCCAGTGGCCCTTTGGATGCCACGGTGTCCATCGGGAAACATCACCCTCACCGCTAGAGGTTTGAGTCCCTGGCCCCACACATTCCTAAGTGTGCTTTGAGCATGGGAAGGCTTTGCTGCCCTCTTACCCCTCTGAGAAGCACCTAGGAGAATTTTTCCCTAGGGGAACAGTTTTTCATGGGGTTAGAAATTCTTCCTGCTGGAATTGGATCCATGAGCAAACAGCCTGAGAAGGAGGGCAGGAGCCCTGTGGGCAGGGTCCAGACCCCAAGGTGAGTGACTGAGTCCTCAGCCCCCCTTCCCCAGCTGAGCTGTCTCTGAGCAGGGAAGTCTTGCTTGGGATAGGAAAGAGGGCAGCCTGGTGATCTGGGCACCAGGGTACTTTAGGGGAGACCTTGCAGGCTGTGTGGAGCTTTGAGCGCACAGGGCTCTTAGACAGGAAGTGGGAAGTATGGTCAACCCTGCTATGATTCAGACCAAGGGGTTGCCCACCCTGTCCTCTCCGGGGAGCTCCAGGTGGCTCTCGGGACAGTAGGTTGCAGCTCCTTACTGGCTGTTCCAGGAGACCTGAGAGCTGGACCGGCCATGAGTTGGTCCTATGGCCCAGCAGCAGAGTAAAGGGGATGCTTCTCAGGCCAGCTTGGGCCGCTGAGAGGTGGCCTCTCACTGCCCTGGAGCAGTGAACACTGGGATCCAAACACCCTTAACTAGGGCCTTCTGGTGACCCCACCTCTGTCTACAGTGGACTTGGTAATCTAGAAGAAACCCTCTTGGCTGACCAGAGTATGCTCAGGTGACATGGTCGTAGGTGAATAATTGCTAAAGCCATTTATACATTCTTATAGCAGTGACCCTAGAACATGGGGCCGTAGAAGTGTAGCGCGTGTTGGAAGTCGTTGCTACTGTGTAGTGCTGTGGCCCAAGCCCCGCAATCCTGCTCACCACGGGAGTGTGCCGAGCAGCTTGGCGCCAGTGGTGAGGAGCTTAGATCCTTCATACGGCTAGGGCTGTCCAGCCTCAGACTTTCACAGCCCAGGAGCTGAGGTGAGGCGGGGGCCCTTGAAAGGATTGGATTTCTCAGTGAGGGCACAAAACTTGATGGAAGCACTGAACTTCCCAGTCCTTCTGTATTTCTTCAAAGACCATAATGTTTCTATATTTAACTTCTTTTAAACTAAAAATGGCCCAGGCATATCCCAGATAGTCAGCCAGGGGGACTGGTCCCGGCTAACACAGCCTCTGGCACCATGTGGAGGGGACTCAGTACAGCAAACAGTGCCCCACAGCCTCTGTCCCAGGTTTCCCATAACATGGCCTCATGGGTCCTGACGTCCAGTGCAGTCCTGGGACTGTTGTGTGGCTTCATGCCATATGCAGGCTGGATGTCACCTTCTCCCTCATGGTCATCGCAGACACATTCAGCTGCCTGGCCGATGTTGGGCCAGGAGCACATGGTCAGGCCAGCTTGGGCCGCATTGTCACATTGTCTGGATGAGGTCTTTTTGGTTTTGTCATCTCCAAGACTGGCTATATGTGCCTGAATTAGCTTTTGTTCTCCATTTATGAAACCTGGGACCTAAAAGAAGCCAAGTAAACCCCAGAACCCTTCAGCATGATGATCCTTAAAGATATCTTCATTCCAAGAAGAGACCAGCTGGATGCATTTCTCACTCTGGGATGGGAAGGAGAGAGGTGTCTTCCAGGCGCCACTAGGGTGACAGGTTGGGAGAGTGTGGTCAGGCCTTGGGTGAAAGAGACCCAGAGAGCACACAGGCCGGCTGACTGGAGTGCTCCATCAGCCCTGCACGCTGTCCCGTTAGACCTTTGACAGGGGAGAGGACTTGGCAGAAATTGCTACCTGCGTGCTGCAGATAGGAAGCAGAGACAGAGAACGTGACATGCCCGGAGAACTGACTGTGACCGTCAGTGTGGGCTCTGCACCCCGTCTCCTGGACCTCAGCCCAGTAATTTTCTATGAGCCATATCCCGGTTTTCTCTTTAGCAATCCCTGGATTCCAGGAGAAAAAATTCTCTTCAATCCCAATAAGAGCACATTGCAATTATATTATGTTAATGTGTATCCACAGCAAAGGACAACTTACAAAGGAGCAAATCAGAATTTTGTTTATGTTCATTACAAACACTAAGTTCCATTTTGAACGATTCTTGTTTTTTAAGGATCTTTCCAAGAAGTGTTGGTTACAGTGATGTCCACGCTTAGAGGCCAGTTTGGTGGCACACAGCCTCACTGAGTTCTTTGTTGATAGCTTTAATGGAAGCAGAGTGATCAGATTAGAGCAGGTAAACAGCCCTGCAGCTGCAGAGACGGAAGCAGCCGCTGGCAGGGGAAGGAGGCAGTGCTAGGCAAGGAGCAGGCTTGCAGGTCCTAGAGCAGGTTGTACAGGCCCAGAAAGACTGTCCACGGTGGCAGATGGCCTCCAGCCTGCAGGCTCCCTAAGCGCAGCATCACAAAGGGAGTTGGCAGGTGCCTGGCTGGCATGGTCTGCATTTGTCACAGTACATCAGGTAAAGGGTCTTGGGTAAAACAGTATTCTGCCCCAAAGCATCCCTGTCTGCCCATTTTAAAGGGGTTCATCTACAGACAAGTCTCCTTTTGTATAGAAACCAGGAGGCCGGTGGGTGAGAACCAACCGCAGGGCAACTTCCTCTTTGGAAACAGGGCAGCCCTGGTGTGACTTAGTGTAAACCTCAGAAGAGACTGCCCTTTGCTAATATCTGAAAGTGGGTTGATGTGCCGTTCATTCTTCCAGAAGGTACACTTCATTTATTCATTGAAATATCCCTGGATTTGGAAGCACTTGGAATATAAACTAGAAGCTTGAAAATTAATGTCTATGTATAGTATTTAATGACATGTGTGTTTTAAACAAACCCTAATTTCTCAGTACATGGCTTCCCCAGAGAAACAATATATTCTGGGGATGGTGGGTAATAGCATGCAGAGGGAATCCTGTGTAGAAATTCATGTTTTTTACGTGTCTTTTCCACACACCTATGGAGAATGGAGTTCTTCTTTAAACATGGCCTGGCGAGATGACTGTGCTATGAATTCTCAGCTGGATGGAATGTTCTGGTGAACCCCGGACTCTGTGTATGTGTGCGTGTGCTGGAGGAGGGAGGAGCAAAGGGCAGCAGGAGAAGCAATAAGGACAAGTTTTCTATGTAAAAATATGCACCCGAGAGGAGTGTTTATTCTGATATTTTGGGGTTGATGTTCTATGTTCTAGAATCCATGTATGAGAAAGTGTGTGGGTCTTTGTTATGAGTGGAATTGTACAGTGCCCTACTGTCTTTAACAGTGCAGAGCTGGCTGTGGGGTGGTCTGGAACACAGACAAACTACAGTGGACTCCGGACTCTACATGCTGGCAGGTGACTGGCAGGATGGACACTATGCAGCCATGGGGAATGTATTATGTTTCTGTCTTTACCTTCTTGTACCACTCTGAAAAGAAAGTCCTGACTTACAATCAGTTGTTATAGCAGTGTCTTATTAGGCATGACAGGCAAGAAGATGTTTCTTACATCAACTGTAAGAATTTAGTAAGTACAGGGTGGATAAGTGGACTCTCCCAAGAATTTTTCCCTTTAAATGCTTTTTTTGGTATATGAATAACATATACATTTTAAAAGAAACTAAAGATAAGTGAAAAGAAAAAAATCACCTATTATTATTCCATCTGATTATAACCACTGTTAACATTTCAGTGTTATGTTCAGTATATGTTCACACTCTTTCCTATGCATAAATATGTGCTTGATTACTTTTTCCAGGAAATGTCAGATTATGCATACTGTTCTCTAACTTGCCTTTCCCCCTTTTAACTCTATATTGTGAGTATATTTCTATATCAGTATGTAATTATATCCTTTTAAATACCTGTGTAGGTCGTACCTTGGATACTTAGGCTGTTTTCAGTTTTTTACTGTTGTAATCAAGGACATCATGAAACTCTTCTGACATCTTTCTAAACTTTCCAAAATACCTAGGATAATTTTCTAAGAGGGAACTTTCTGGCTCAAACATGTGCTTCTCCCTATCTCTGGCCCTGTTCCTTCCTGGGCACGTAGGAGACTCTACTTTCTGGTGTCCCTGTAGTCATTCAGAGTCTTACGACTAATTCCAGCCAGTGAAATGCGGGTAGAGACTAAAATATCCATGTGCAGAGCCCCGGTGTCTGTTCCTGGCCGCTGCCCTCAGCCATGTGGCCTCCTGGGTGGAGCCTCCCTCAGCCTGTGCCCCTGAGTGGGGGACTCTGTGGAGCTGACCTGCCCCTCACTCTCCCTCACCAGCAATCTGCATGGACCTGTAGTGGGAACAGAGAATATAAACCCTAATGTTATACCACAGGGGTTTCAGAATTAATTTGTTACTGCAGCATAATAGCCTATTCTGCCTAATGATAAGAAAGGTAGGACATTTTTAGGAGTTTTTATTATACAGGGTATGATAAAAAAAATAGTGTGAAATACACATTACCATTAATTCCTCTCAAAATATTCCCCTCAAATTAATTCCCCTCAGAATGTTCAGGTGACACACTTATCTGACCGTCCTTGCCACTTTCTGAAGCAGTTCTGAAGTCCTCTTTCCTGAGTGTCTTTAGTCGCACTGTCATGGCTGCCTTCACGTCCTGAATTGATTCAAAATGTTTACCTTTCATGCCCATTTTGACTTTGGGGAAGAGCCAGAGTCTAACAGTGCCAGATCCAGGGAGTAAGGTGGATGAAGACACACCGTAATGGTTTTTACAAGCCTAACTTTCCATTAGATGGCCCACAGCAGTAGCATTCACCATCTTTTTTGTCACACCTAGTAAAGACACTCATGAAAGAGAACTTCCAGAACTACTTCAGAAAGGGGTAAGAACAATGGGATAAGTGTGTTTGAAGTGAGGGGGCATTTTTTGAGGAGGCTTTTAAAAGTTTTTAAAATTTTATTAGTACGTGTTTGCATTCATGCAGTTTAAGGAGGCTTAATGGCAATGTGCCTTTCATTGTAATAATAATGTTTCACTTGAATATTCACTGTGTATTGTGATCGCCCCTCATGTATTGCCTCAAATTGTCTTTCAGAAAGATGATTCCCCAATTCCTGGTACACAAACACACACACACAAAAAAGAAAGAGATGATTCCCAATATATTTGCACCCCAGCAGTGTGTGAGAATGTCCAACTCCTTCTTTAACACTGTTATTAACATGAGGTCTGGCAGTATAAAAATTAAATTTTTGATTAAAATAATGACCATCATTAGAAAAATATTTTTATTGAATTATACATTTTTGTAGTTTACTTATATTCATCTAGTCTGGCCAGTTTTCTCAGAAGGAGTCTAGCGTCTTCATTGATTTCTAAGGGGTTTTTTAAAATAAATATTGTGAAAAGTTTGAAGTTGTAATATAGCTTTTAAAAAATACTCACACAGTCAAATCTGTCTTTTCTTTCAGTTATTACCTTTGGTGTCAATCTTATGAAGGTCTTTTTGTTTCTAATTCCAAGAGTGTGTAAATATTCATCAATATTTTATTCTTGTCCATTTATTTTTCTCAACAATTAAATCAGATTGGAATTTATTTCCTAAATTGCCCCAACGTGATTGCTCGGGATAGCTGTCCTTTCTCTATCAATGTGAATCCCGTTTTTACTGCGCCATCAGTCCGTGGGCACCATGGATACGTGTGTTCTCCCCAGTGTCTCTGAGCTTCGTACCAGGCCACCAGCCACCTATACAGTCTAGCACTGGGACCACTCTGTTTGATCATTGTACGGCTAGACCGAGTGTCCCATTAAACCCTTTAAGAAATTTCCTAGTACATTTGCACATTAATATATCCAAAAGAAATTTGGGATCATTTTGTAATGTTTAGGAGAATTGGAAATTAGATTATGTAAAATGTATATATTACTACAGAATTAATATCCTTATAATATGTTCTCTTTCAGTTCAGTGAATTTATAATGTTTAGTTTTATGTCCTTTGGTCTATTTTTTCTAATAAAGGTAATTTTTGTAGTTGTGGTTCCTGCTGCAAATGAGATTTTGTGTTCATTGTATTTTTAACGGCCATTGTATTTTATTGTTAGTGTATAGGTATCCCACTGCTCTTTTTAATGAAAATTAAATTGGTTTTCTACCTTGACATTAAAGTTACATAAGTTTAAACATGAGAATGCATAATGTAGAAAATCAAAGTCCTATAGAATTAAAAATCTCTCTGCCATAAGATAATCAATAATTATGAATCGTCCTCAGCTTTTCCCCAGAATATATTTTATCATTTTGTAAGTGTGTTTCAACCCTCCTGCTACCTGCCTTTTCCCCTGGCAGTGGGTCTTGGGCCTCTTCCTATGTCAGTAAGCATCAATCTACCTCATTCTCACCTTTGCATTAAGAAAGTAGTGTGTGGTTAGTTTATTTAACTGGGCAGTTGGTTATTTTGACACTAACCAGTTACCAAGAATCAGTTAGTTCTTTTCATTCTAGTAGTTTTGTTGTTAATTCCTTTGGCATTTTTTCAAGTAGGTAATAGTTCTGGGGAGGGGTGACAATTTGATCTTTGTATTTTTAATAATCTTATTTTACTTTCTTGTCTTATCACACTGGCCAGCATTTTTAGGACAGTCCTACACAATGCATATATAATTGTGCTGGTATTGTACGTTCTTCTTTATGTATATTTTTTCCCTTAGCAAGAATACCTCTAATGATTCCCCAAAAGTATAAATTTTTGACTTTTAATGTAAGATATTCTTGATTTTTGATTTTGTATATTAAATTATGTCCTATTTCTGATCTGCTAAAAATTTTTATCAGTAATAGATGTTGGGATTTTAGTAAATGACCTTTTTCTGATCTGTCAGATAATCAAATAATTCTTCTCTATTATGACTTCAGATGAATAATTTTAATAGATTTGCTAATGTTAAGCCCACTCTACATTTCTATAAACATATGATATAGTCAGATTATATTGTTTTTTTAATATACACTTCCTTTTGATGTTAACAGTGGTTATTTATGATTGGTTGGTTGATGGTAGATTTTTATTTTGTGTTTCTTATCTGTGTTTTCTGATTTTTCTACAAAGATTGGGTATTGCTTATATAATAAAAATAAGAGCTTTACAATGAAAAAATATTCTGGATTTGGGTTGCTCATTTTATTTTGGAAATTTCATATCTTAATAAGTGAATAGTTGTGATTTTTTTCTTTGTCACATATTTTTGTTAACTTCTTAAAAAAATAAAGGGACTTGGGAAGGTCTCTTTTTCTATGCCCTGAAATAGTTTAAATATTAAAAAATTTTTGCTCTTTGAAGTTTTTATAACATGCATAAAACTGTCTTAAATGTAGTGCCTTGTTAGAAAATAATTCTTTGATAGTTTTTCCAATTTTCTGTGCTCATTGGTCTCTTTCTCTCGTTGGTCAGACTTTCTTCCTGTTCTGTAAGTTTTTTGGCAGTTAAATTTTCATAAATAATAATTCTCTTAAGATTTTTCAAGTGTGTTGGCATTAAATTGTGTTGTTTTTTCTTACTGATAATGTATGTCTGTGCTTTCTGTTTTTGTTCTATTTAGTTTTTCCAGAAAGTTTATTAGTTTTTGCAAAGAACAAACTCTAGGACTTACACCATAATACTGTTTCACTATTTTATGATTTTTTAAATTTGGTTTTGCTCTTTTCATTTTTTTCCTTTATTATTTTTTCACCTTCTCAAGTTGAATGCCATTTTTTTCTTGCTTAATAAAACAATTATTAGCATTATAAGGCTGAAATAGTCCATAGCCCTTAAATTTTTGTGCATGGTAGTGTTATAAATAATTTATAATTTCAGATTTGATTTTATGTTTTACAAAGAGTTATTTGAAGTTATACTTTCAGATTTCAAAATAGCTTGATATTTCTTTGTTTTTTTTTAACATCTGTTACAGACTTCTAGCTTTACTGCCCGGTCAAAGAGGGTATGGTTGGTACAATTTGTACACTTAGGACTTTACTGATATTTTCTTAGGACCGAATAAATTTTTAGTTTTAATAAATATCCCCACAAAAACAGAGAATGTATATTCTCTGAAGGGAACAAAATTCAGTCAATATATATTGCTTTGACCTCATTAAGTACAATATTCTGAACCTTTAATTTTTACTTACCTGATTCATTAGAGACTGAGAAAGGTATGTTAGTTCCCACTACAATTGTATTTCTGTTTCTCTTATGCACCGGAAGTTTTTTTTGTGTGTTTCTGTTTTATGTTATTTTGCAAATAATCTTTTTTATATTTAAGGGAAAAGTTTTTTCCTTTAAAGATTTGTATATTCTTTATTTGATTTTGTTGTAATAGAGTCACTTATGTAGAAATACATAGTTCAGTAAAATGTTTGTGTCTTTTTAAACTGAGAAAAATCTTTCAGAAACCCTATGGGCTTACTTAACAAGGTATTTTGGAGGTTCTTGATTTTTCCAAGAAGGCTGACATCCTCTGCGGCCACTTCCTGAGCCAAAGCAAGAGAGCATTCAGGTTGAGGTAGAGCAGCTTTGGAGACAGAGGGATGTTTAAGGGATGCCTGCCCTTCAGCTGGCCACATTCTGCCACCATGGGGCCGTGCTGCAGCTTTTCTCAGCCTGAGAGTCACTCCTTTCTCGGCGGAGGATCAGCTGTGGAGTGGAAGGCAGTGAGAATGTGTGCGCCTGTGCCTGGCTGCTGGAGAAAAAGCTAATCTCAGAGGCTCTTCAACTAAAGAAGTTTTTTCCTAGCTGTTTCAACAGGCTAGTCACATGGCAGTCTGTGCCAGGTACAAAACCACCTCTTCCCAAACTTGTAAGAGGCGTGGACCCCAATCCTGAGCTCAGGAATGGGACACGGCCTTCTCTGTTCTTCCTTCATTGAAGTTAACTTCTGTTTTGAGCCCGATGCAGTTTGATCTCAGTTCTGGGATTCATCTTCCTCCTAAGGTGATCCTTCGAGGGTCTGGGGCTTCCATGTTCCCACAGGGCTGGAGGGTGGGCCCCACCTGGGTGTTCTCTGTTCCCACCTTTCCCTGCGCGCCTCTCCACCACCTCTGCACCATGGGCAGTGCTGGGAACGTGGGGGTGACTCGCCCTGGCTGCCCAGGCCCCTCAACCACCAGATAAGCCAGGTGTGTGCGTGCCCAGGACGCCAGGGCACTGGGTGGAACTGATTCTTCCGTCACCAGCACTGGTGGCTCTCTCTGCTGGGGCTCACTTCAGCCTGGTTTCCTTCCCATTTCTGTCTGACTTTCTGGGACTATTCCTTTTCCATGCCCGCCTCCTCCTGCTCGGTTCACAGCGGGGTCTCCGCGGCTCTATGCTGCACCATCTTCCTTTGTTCTTCTCTCCCCAGGAATCTTCAAGGCAATCTCAGCCCATGGCCAGCAGCTGCTTGTGCCCAGACTACCCCCCTTCCTTCCCTCATGCTGCCCAGCCTGCCGCCCCTCGCCGGCGGGGGCCACCCATCCAAGTGCTGCCCTTGCTTCCTGCTGTGGGACGGCATGCCTTGTGCTTCTCTCTCCTGTCCCTTCACCACTGCTGCTGTCACCCCCCACCCCTGCCCTCTTCCGGTCCCCTCCCCTTCCTGGTCGCTCTTCCTGATCCATGGGGCAGTTGGCTTCTAGCTTCAGCTCAGTGGCTGCCACTCCATCATGAGGTCACCCCGGACCCCTCCGCTGTCCTGCCAAGGCCTGGCTTGGCGTTGTCTCTGTGTTCTCGCTCTTGCTGTTCCCACTGCATGGGGTTCCTTCTCTGCCGCCCCCCACGACTACTGCCACCGCTACCACCGCCATCTCAGGCCTAGGCCAGAAGTCCTCTTCATGAAGCTCAGCTCCTCCGAGCGCTTTCCATATTTAACAGCTTTAAATCCTTAGCTTCACACCTGTCTATGGAGCACACTTATGCCCCAGGACCCCTTCCTGGGAACACAGGTGAAAAGACTTGGTTACTCTCGCAGACCTAGTACAGCCGCTGCTGGCCTGCTGCAGGTGTTAGTGGGACGCACCAGGTGGGGGCGTGATGGGTGGCTCCCCTCCAGACTGCTCTCTACCTGGCTTTTCCAGGGCTGGACTTACCTCAGCTTCCCTCTGAACAGTTCCTCTCTGAGCCTTGGGGACAGTCCTCGTGTGTTTCTAGGATGCGCTGCAGACCTGCTGCAGTTAGGGTTGCCAGCCCGTCTCAGGAAAACCTCCTAGACTGGGGCCTTTGCCACCCGGCAGTCTGCCTGCTAGCAAGTGCCTTCTCCTAGACAGGAAACGGCCCCCACAGTGGCCCACATGCTTATCCGTGGAGCCAGGGACCGTGTTAGCAGCGAGGGCCTAAGGGACCTTCATATGGGAGGCTGTCCTGGACTGTCTGGGCAGAGCCCAGCTGATCACAGGCCATCTCAAGGGCAGAGAAGCTTCCCAGCAGAAGCAGAAGAGGCAGGGGAAGGAGTCAGAGAGCCACGACACTGCTGCTCTGCAGACGGAACACGGAGGACGGGCCACAAGCCATGGAACGTGGACAACTGCCAGGAGCCACGAGGGAAGGAAACAGCTTCTGCTGGAGCCTTCAGAGAACAGCACGGCCCGCTGGTCTCTCAGTTCCAGCCCCGGGAGACCTGTGTCAGACTTGTGCAGAACTCTGAGAATAAACTTGTGTTGTTTAAAGCCACAACATTTGCAGTAATTTATTACACCACTAGAAAACTAGTGCACTAGAACCCGAGATTTAAGAACCTCTGCCGTGTAAGTCCTCTCCTGTGTCACTCCCCAAGGTATGACCCGAGCTCCTGCCACCAGCTGTCAGACCCCCAACGTGAATCCTGGAAAGGAAAGGACGAAGAAATGAACTGACAGACCTGATTGCCGCAGCTCGTTGTTTTTCTCTCCAGGACATTTACAGGCTGCTTGCTGCCAGTTATTGATCGGCTCTGAGGACGCGATGCCGGCCCCCGGGTCAGTCAGCTGGGGGTGACACCTGGCCCACCGGCTGTCCTTGTGGGAGGGCTGTAGGTGAGAGGGGAGCTGGTGTCCGGGACAAGGTGCAGTGGCCATGTGGGGCAGCAGCAGGGAAGATGACAGAGGGGGAACGCTGTAGGGCTGAGACTGAGGGACGGGCAATCCCAGGCACTTCGTCGTGCTGAGAGCGGGGCTGCGTGGCATAGGCAGCAAGCAGCTTGGTGGTGCAGGAGAGGAACTGCCGTCGGGAGAGGGGCTGCCAGCGGTCAGCAGCCAGGCCTCGGGGCACGGATGTGCCACACGTCGGGGCCTGTCCATAGCTCTGCATTGGAAAGTCAGGGAGCACTCAATTGGCAGCACTTGGCAGGGTGCGTTGGGGAGGTTGGGAGCTACACAAAAGGAGACGTACTTGTTCCCTTCGTTGCTCTGATTTCCCTGAAGCCAGAGCTTGGATTTATTTCAGAACTTGGCTGAAAGATGGAGGAAAGAGGGAAATGAGGGAGAGAACGTTCCAGAGAAATTCTGAGGCACTGAAGACACAATTGGGCTGGGGACTTAGAGCTCATGGAAAAGGATTCTTTTCTGAAGGCTTCTCATCTTTGGCAGCCCCTCAAGGGCAAATTCTGAGAATTACCCAAACCTGTCATGCTCCTTTGTATCTCGTGATACTGAAAGCACAAGTAATTAAAAACAATGCAGCACTTCAAAATAAGCATAAGTCTCCCAGAGTTCTAATTGTGCCTTTTAAAAAATGTCCAATTCGCACAGCACTTGCCTATCAAGTGCAAGGGCCCGAGTTTGATTCCCTGTACCAAAAAAAAAGCCCAATTCTGGACACTGCTTCTCCAAGGTGGGGAAGGAGGCGAGGACAGCCACCTGACCTCCTCTGCCTGCCCACCACCCCACACTGAAGCCCAGTGGGCAGCCAGCAGGGCGTGTCCCTGGCAGCTGGAGGACACCATGGAGCAGAGGTGCAGGGCTGGACCCAGCCTGGATGGCACAGGCACCCCAGCCGGTGTGAGGGGCACTGGCACGGGAGCTGGAACTGCATCCTGGGAATGGAGGGCTTGGGGTAGGCCCACAGGCAGCCTGGCAGTGACTACCCTGAAGGACGCGGACATCTCCCAGCCTTGTCAGCTGAGGCCCCTCAGGTCAGTTAGGAAACTGGAAGTGGAAAGAGTTGTGCCGTATGTCAGGACTCCTCTGGGAACGAGGATGGGGTCATTCTGCTGTGTGGAAACCAAAGTCTTCTGTCACGGGGGCGGGGGCAGTAACGAGGCCAGCCGGGATGCTTGGGCAGTCGGAGAAGTGGGTAGACCGTTCTGTGCCGGTTCTTCCCTTCCCTACTAACACCAAGTGAGGAGGAGAAAGACTCCACACGGGAAGGCAATGTTCCCCCCACTTAGTATTTGCTTAAATACCTGTTCATCTGAAATCTCACTGAACACCTTAAACCCACCCAGGCAGGGAAGGCTTTGCCTGTATAGTGGTTAGGGTACTATGGTTTCATTGCCTCATGTGTGACAGTGATGCATTATAAACAGTTAAAATAGTTCTTTATTACGAATTTACATAGTGCTTCATACATAAAATACATTTCATTTAAATATTTAAAATAATTCCTGAATATAAGCAGTTTACTCTGATTCTTGCTAAAATAAACGTTCACAGTCAGACCTTTAACTGTGAGGAATCTACTGCACACACGCGGGAGGGCACAGCAGTTCAACAGTGCTGTCGACAGGGCCACGTAAACTCCCCAACTTGGGGGTGATTCTACGACCCAGGTGAGAAGCGAGCGCTGCTGCCCGCGGCCAGCGACACTCACTGGGTTTCACTCGCCGGGGGGTGGTGTGAGGCGGTCACCACCGCTCTGCTTCCCAAGAGCCACGGCATGAAATCAGAGTTGCAGGGGCACACGCAAAGCCTGGCTGATCTTTTAAGCACTGTGTGGCCTGTCCACCTTGGTCTCACGTGGAAGAGACCTTAATGGTCCCACTGGCTGGCGCTCTGCTCGTCGCTGTCCTCCTCCGAGTCGGCAGACACTCGCTTGATTCTCTGCAGAGCTGCCTTGATGCTTCTCTCCAGGTCGCTGGCTGGCCTGGTGCTGGGGCCCGCGCCCGGGTCCTGGGAGACTTTCTTCAGTTTGACTCCCTGCCTGATGGCCGCCAGGATGTCCTCATTGACCGAGGTGCGGGAAGGGGGCACAGCACGCACTTCTGTTTTCTGGAGGCGAGTTCTGCCGTGTCTTAAGGAGGCCAGCACTTCGTCCATGGATCCTGAAATCGCGCGAACAGAGCAAGTACCGTCAGCCCCAGGCTGCCAGAACATTACTGAAACCAGGATTTAAACAAGTTATCCTCATCCCATCCAACAGGTGCTGTGATGACCTGCTAGCCAAAGCAGGGAGAGGAGCTCCCGGTTTGATCCAGGACAGTTCTGTGGTGAATACCTTATCTTGACTACTTTCAACTAACTTCAAATCCATAGCATTATGGGCAGAGTCATGCACAACTTTTTTTTGGAATGATGGTTTTTCAGATGGCCTAAAGAGAATTATGGATGCCTGGGGTAGAAATAATCTAACCACTGTGAGTGACTGAGATCCCTCTAAAATTGTATCTTTTCCATTTCCCTTCCCATTTAAAAATATCTTTAAAAAATTTTTTTTACCCTGCTGTGTGTCTCTAACTTTAATCTTGGTATTAGACAGTGATGACTCACTCTGTGACAATGAAGCGAGTAAGTTTCCACACACAAAAAAGGCTTAAGTGCAATTCTAATCGGTAGCTCAATGAACAGGAGGGGGTGGCTTTGGCACATTTTTCTGTACATAGTGTGTTTAATTCCACCTACATTACCGTGAAGTAGTTACATGCTCTGCTTCTGAGGATGTGAAATGCTGTCAAAACACAAATTAGCTTAGAGTTCAGGGCATGAGGAGAAGAACCTTAAGACCCTGAGGGGGGAGATCTGTCATCCGCTGCTAGGCACAGGGGCATGACGGTGGCCACTGACTGACACGTCTTCCGGGTAAGCCTCTGAGAGTTCCAGCTGGGACTGAAAGGCCCTGCTATAGTAACAAGGGCTACTTCACTTTGGATGTAAAGCTATAACTGATTAGCATTTCCTTCTGGGAGTAATAGGACAAGTTTTGCAATCAAGGGCATTTTCTGGTACTAATTCACACTCATATTTTTTCAGCGTGAGAGAGCAGCATGAGTTGAATAGAGCTTCCCAAAAACTGTGCACGAAACCCGGCTGGAACACACCCCCGCAATGACCTGCGCACGTCCAGCCTGGGCACAAGCACACGGTTCTCGTGCAGACCTCACAGGAACGGGCCCTGTGGCCTCCCCCAGCAGAGCAGACGTTTCTGCTGTGCACAGTGACACTCTGAACTCGGAATCTCCAGAATGCTCAATTGACCAGAGCCCTGCTTTGGAAGTGCTACGTGAAAATCACTCACATCACCTGTCCCTGTCACCTGCCTATTCCAGGTGACCTGCTCAGCCACATCTCAGGAAACAGGTGCACACAGAAGTTTACGAGGGTCTTTCTGAAGCACATACCCTAAACAAGGAGGTCCCCTCTGGGCAGGTTTAGGGAAGTCTCCTCAACAGTCAGTATAAAGCCATAATTAAAATTACACATGAAAACTATAGCCCTCATTATGCAAATACTCAGATGTTTCAGGGCACTATAGTTGCCACACCAAAAAACCCTTTTTTCCTGTGCATCAGTCTGCAAGAATGGCCTTATACATGGTGGGGGAGATTCCTCCACAATAACTTCCAAGCAGTATTCTCCTTAACAACAATTCAATTCTGTAAAGCACTCGGGAGATAAAACAGCAAACTTGAAAGCTGTATGGAAAATATCCCAATGGCAAAAATCAGACTGAAGTCTTAAGAAAACTGAAATAGATGCATCCTTTAACAGCCTCAGAAAATCCCAAGCCATAATGTTAAGTGAAATAAATCAGACACACAAGCTTCAATAGTACATCGTTTCTCTTATGTGAGAAACGCAAAGCATAATGAACAAAATAAAAAATAGATAACAGGAAATGGGAAGATAGATCTTTTGCAAAAGGGAAGGGGACCAAGAGATGGATGGAAAGGAGAAGGAAAGGAAGAAAAGAGAAAGGAAAAAGAATGAAGATGTGTGATGTACACATACCAACTCCTGATGAAGAATGTAATCATTATATTTTGCAAACATGGAACAATAAAAGTAACATATTAACTAGAAAAAAGACAAGAAATCCCAAGCCATGTGATCAACAAATGCACAGACTGTTTTCTGAGGCTGAATTTTATCAAATTAGACTTGAGCTGTACTGACTATGTAAGAAAAAATACTATTCAAGACAACAAACACTGGAATATTTTAAGAATGACCAGAAAATTCTGGCAGACGTCAGTGGGTTACCTGGGCCAGGAACAGTTTCCAAGGAGCGATGCAGGCTTTCAGCAGGTGACTCACACACCAGAGAATGTGGCTGGTCATTGTGCACCGAAGTCCTGGGGCCTGGGTTCTGAGGAGTGGCGGTTTGGGAACGGAAGGACAGAGCAGGGAGAGGTGGCGGTGGGGGTGGGGGCGGTGGCGGAGGAAGAGGAGGCTGTGGGGGTGGTGACAGCTCTTCACTGGATCTGGAGTGTGTCTGGTGACCAGCTGGGACAGCTATCTGGACAGCAATCTTTCCAGGACAGTCTTGACACTCCAGGGTTTTCAGATCGCTCATTTCATGTAAGGACAGAGCGCGTCTTGTATTCCAGGAGGGCGGGAGAGCTGCTGTCCCTGGCTGAGAAGCGGGCGAGGGCAGCTGCTGGGCAAGGTCACCTGGCAGGCTTGGGGCCCCGGGCTCCGAGGAAAAGGTTTGTAGTATGGACCGACCCGGACATTTCTGAAAATGGAAAAAGGTTGTGGGAAATCTGCTGCACATGCTGACCATCAAAATGTTGACAGGGACATAATCATACACCGTTGTAATTCACACAGTGCGCCTGTCATTTATGCAGCCATCCTGGATGCATTAACAAATAAGGGTGTGTTACAAAAACAAGCACTTACGTTCTTCTCTGTAATAAAATGAACAGTGAAAAGATACACAGACATGGAAATACTCATCATAAAATCCTTAGCATGAATAATCACTAGCTCTAAACGCCAATAATAGAAGTTGGTCTAAAAATGGCATTTATTCAAAATATTAAGCAGCCATGAAAAATCATACAACTACAAATTTGATAAAACATCTAAAAAAAAAAAATCAACTGACAGTGTTAAGTGAAAACAGTAGGATACAGCTGGATGCAGAGGCACTGGCCTGAAATCCCACGCTCAGGAGGCTGAGGCAGGAGGATAGAGAGTTTAGGGCCAGCTTGGCCTACATAGCAATACCCTGTCTCCAAAAAAAGATAAAAAGTAAGAGGTGTTATAACTATAAACATGTAAAAGACAGATAAAAACACCAGTAAAGTGGATATCAAAGGTACTGTATTTCTTTTCTCTAAATTTTAAGCTGAGAGTAAACTTAATAATTTCAAAATCATAAATTTGAAAAGTTCTGGTCTCAGGTATTAGTTTGATAAAGAAAAATCTATCCCTACAAGGAGATGCTTGAGAGAGGAGGGGGCCCTAAAGAAAGAACAGATTCGCCAATAAAATACAAAACGTAATACCATGAGCCATTAAAGTGAACTAGAGCTATATACATTAACGCAAGTACATCTCAAAAACAGAACTCGAATTAAAGAACCCAGGAATGTACACACAAGGCAGCACTACTAATATGAGCTTAAAATACAGACGTCATACAATTCACGGTAAGCTCAGGGGACATCTATCATCCCTGCAGTCTTCTTTCCTCAGGACAAATGGGAAAAGAGCACGACAAGCCCCAAATCCCAGGGGCTGGCATCACCCAGGGACTCATATTACCCTGAACTCCTTAGTCCAGGCTCTTGCCCCTGAATTAAAGCCACACAGACCCCTTCCCACACCACCACAGGCAAATGTTCCTCTCCCTGCGGGCTTCTCTGAACCAACAAAACAGCAGTTTATCCCAATTTTAGGTCAACTTGTTAGATTTTAACTCACTGTTTACTTTTAGCAGAGCACTTTTTCTGCCCTTAGAGCACAACACTTCCTTGATGACATTTTAAAGAAACCTTTAAAAGTCTTGCAAATGAGGAAAAAAGCCAACTGAAGTCAAGGACTGTTAAATCCTTTCAATTCTCACTGCTGGTCTAAACCCCAGCAGGGACGGTGAGCGCCCCCAGGGAGAAGGGTTTAAGACAAAACAGCATGGCGTGATGTCCAAAGCAGCAGCTATTCTGGGGCATGCCTTTTGAAACACCAATACTGGGGTGTTATGTGCTTTATTGCTGTTCTACAAACCACATTTCATAATAGGAGTTATCTCTTCACAGTGCTTCACACCTTCCTCCTAGGACGCATGATCCTCACTTTCCCACAGAAAGAAGATGAGGTGATTGTTTCTAGAACTTACCTCTTTATATGCTCTTAATCGCCGGAGGGTTTTCTGGCGTTCCTGGTTTACCCATTCTTTTTTCTTCTGTTCCTCTTCTTTTATTTTGTCTCTTTTCTATATTTAAACAAGCATATACTGTAAAGTGAGCTCAGAATTCCAATCATATGTCTCGACATAAAGTATGTCTTGACAAAGAGGCTGTACCCCATGGGTCTGCCAGAACGTCACATGATGAAACTGTAACATTTTCCCCCAGCTACTCACCATCTGAATGCTGTGATGCTTGTACAAATACTGGACATTTTTTTCAGCCTGTTGCAGTCGGAGGTGATGATTCTCTTTGCATTGATCCTGGTAGAATAACATAAATCACCTACATGGTTTTTAATATTACCATAGGCTATAGTAGAAAGAAACTTTAACAGAAAAAAACTTTGTATTTTTTTAAACTTTTAACAGAAAAAAACTTTATATTTGTGCCACAGTTTGTTTGTTTTTTGTCTTTTTCTGGTACTAGGAATCGAACTCATGACCTTGCACTTGCCAGGCAGGTGCTATGCCCCTGAGCTAAATCTCCAGCCCCCTGCACTGCAGTTTAAGGCACTCATTAACCTCAGTTTCTACTGTGACTTTTTGGTGCTGTCTGCTCAGCAGTCATGTGATAGGGGCCACCAGCTGCTCACAGGAGGGTGCTTTGGGCGATGAAAAAGTGACCCTCCAGCCACGAGAGGACAGCAGACAGGTCGCCCCCAGTCCTGAATGGGCCACGTCCCCACAATCTGTTGTAATGCAGTGCTTTTCAACATATCCCCCGTAGTGTCATGAACACTAATTATATTTCCAAACATAGCTACAAAAGCACAGCTGACCTATAAACACCTGAAAAATTGTATGAAAAGCTGTATCTCACCTATGCTGAACTGTTCACCACAGCCCCCAGGGTGTGTGGAAAAGAATAGAGCAAAAATACTAACAGTCACTGAACTTGTTTTTGGTCCCACCCTCAATGCCACACACTTCCCATGTCTTAGGCCATTTTATTTTCATCTTGAGCATGAGATTGGTATTATTACCATGATTATCCTCTTAACAGATGAGAAAACTGAGCTCAAAAGAGAGTTAAGTAATTTGCCTAAGGTCACATGGCTGCCAAGGCCATACTGTGACTTCTAGCCAAGGTGGACTCTAGGGCCTGACCTCAACTCCCAGCCTGTTCCAGCCTCCCTAGAACCCAGTGGCAGGAGAGCTTCCTAAAAGGTAAGAGGAGGCACAGCCCTGCTGTCAAGGGCTTCAGAAGGATCACCCCACAGCTACACGGTTGTCATGGAGACAGCTCCAGCCCCGCAGAGTGGCTGAAACTCAGAGCCAAAGGCACAGGCCCTGGAGTCTCCATCACCTGAAGCACAGCTTCAACTTCGCCATAGAAGCTACAGGTGCAAGCAAAAACCTTCAACAGACATACGCTGCCAAAGTTTTTTAAAGGTATCTTTGCATGGAAACTGAAGTATTTTTGAAAGTTAGAAAATACATTATAATTTTCATGATTTTTAAATTCTAGTAGCAAAAGACTAATATGAGTAACCACATGAAATGTAGCTTTTTTTCTGTTGGAAAAAATAAAATTTTTAGTGTTACCCTTTTTATATAAATCAGTTTTTAAAAATTAAGAAATGGCCTCTCTCTTTCATTGTTGAGTATTGTTCAGTTTAGTTTGGTCTTTTTGAGACAAGATTTGTATTTTGGGTTTTTTTTGAGACAGAGTCTCGGTCTATAGTTCAGGCTGGCCTTGAACTTGTGGCACTTCTCCTGCCTCAGCCTCCTGAGTGCTGGGATTACAGAAGTGCAGCACCATGCCCAGCTAGCCTCTCTTTTGAGGGCCCACGTGCTATTTCTTTGAGTGCATACTTCTTAAATTGCTGACTAATAAAGACCTTTATGCTTCTTACCCAAAAGAAAAAAAATCACCAAACATGAGGTCTAAAATGAGCTGAGTATTACATATATCTGTGATTAATTTTATAATCCATAATTTATAATAAAATATATTTCATAATTTGCTACAGCTGATTATTAGAAAGTTTCTACCTCCTGTGATTTTAAAAACACTGTGGATACAGTGGGCATTCAACAAATAATTGTTGAATGAATTAATTAAAATATAGAGATTACAGTAAATGCATAAATCCCAAAAGAAGCAAAGAACTTTTTAAGAAGAATACTTAAAATATATTTAACTAAGCCAGGTATGGTGGTGCACACCTGTAATCCCAGTACTCAGGAGGCTGAGGCAGGAGGACTGTTGCGAGTTCAAGACCAGCCTGGGCTACAAAGTGAGCTCAAGGCCAGCCTGAACTGCATAGCAAGACCCTGTCTCAAAAAGACACACACACACACACACACACCCATTTAACTGCAGGGCTGGGGATATAGCTCCGCGGCACAAGCACCTGCCTGGCAAGCACAAGGTCCTGAGTTCAATTGCTGATATATATAGATATAGATATATATTTTACACATATATGTACATATATTTACATGCATATATTTAATTACAGTTACTGATATCTGCATAAACATAAAAAAATTAATCATTGTAGGAATAAGAACCTTATTTCCAGTACCTCTTTATCTTTCATAAAAGAAGTAATCTCAGCCAGGAGTAGTGGTACATACCTACTAATCCTAGCACTCTGGGAGGCTGAGGCAGGTGGACTGCAAGTTTGAGCCCAATTTGGGCAGTTCAGCAACTTGGCCAGACACTGTCTCAAAGTTAACATTAAAAAGCTGGGGATGTAGCTTACTGCAAAGGCCCTGAGTTCAATCCCCAGTACTGCAAAAAAAGAAAGGAAGAAGGAAAGAAGGAAGGAAAGAGACAGATAGACAGACAGACAGACAGACATAGACAGATCAATGTATCGATCCCTGGAAGGAGAACAAAAAGCAGCCGCCTGCCGCACCTACCTTTCTGTTCCGGAGTCGAGCTCTCCTGGTGCAGATTCTCCCACGCTGCATCTCCAGCTGCCGGCGGCGCAGGCTGAGCTCCTTCAGCTCCGCGTTCTCGCCGGCCTGCAACGCCGCTGCACAACCAAGGATCTGAAGTTCTTCCGGACTCTCACAGGTATCATAATAGACAACTTCATCCTGTTTCTCTAAAAACATGCAAATGATGCCCTTAAACATATTTTACTCTAAAAATAATACAAAAATATTTTAGTGTAAGGAAAATAAAAATCACTTGTACTATATGGCTACACATACCAGTTATAAGGGAACATTTTCCATGGGATGGAAATATAATTCTAATGGCAAAAGAGTATTTTGTAGTATTTTGCTATTAGGATGTTCCAGGGTTCCTTTATGGACCGTTTCGCTGTGATGAACATCTCTACATAAATCTTGGTGTACATTTTTATTACCTCCTTAGCAAATGAATATCAGGCTCTTGATGCCTCTTGTCACAGTGCCAACCACAAAGGCAACTTCTGTCAACAGCACATCATAACGGTGCCTCGCTGACATTTCGTCTCAATTACATATTGATCTTTTTAAATATATGCGTATTATAACAAATTCAAACCCTACAGAAGTGCATAAATTTTATTCTTCCTTCCCCAAATCTATTCAGATCCATTCTCAGAAAAGAACATGAACAGTCTGGCATGTATCATCCAGGTTTTTAAATATTTCTTCCTACAAATATAAAGCACTTATAACCTAAAACTGCTGTAAAAATGTTTGAATAGCTAGGATTAAACTGTATGTTCAAGATTTACATGGAAAAAAAAATTACAGGAATTTTAGGGTGAGAAAAGGTTGGTGTTCTTTTTGTTGTTTTGTTTTTTGTCTTTTTGAGACAGGCTGGCTTTGAGCTCACTTTGTAGCCCAGGCTGGTCTTGAACTTGCAACGATCCTCCTGCCTCAGCCTCCCAAGTGCTGGGATTACAGGCATGCACTACCACACCCGGTGGAAAAAAAGGATTTAAATACATGGAGAAACATAAACTTGGCTGGGAAGAGTCAAAATTGCAGTGATGACAATTTTCCCCAAAATAATCTCCAATTTAAGCATAATCCCAATCAATATTCCAGTGAGGTTTTTGTTTGTTTTGACCTTGCCAAAGTGACTCTAAAGTTCATCTGGAAGAATAAAGAATAGTGAGAAACTGAAGTCACGAGGGGTCCCTGCCTTACTAGACACTAAAATGTGCTTCCCAGGTACAGGAATAGGACGGTATGCCCCCCACTCACAAGATGGTGAAGGAGAATAATAACTCAGAGGTCTAATAATTCTGGAGATGAGATGCGGCCATTCAAAGCAGCAGGGGAAAATGTCTTTAAAGTGATTGGGACTACTGGAACTTTGGGGGCAAAAGTTAGATTCCTACCACAGAAGAAACACTTGAATGATATCTTCAATATGCAAAGTAAATATTCCAAAGAAAAATGGGCAAAGACCATGACTAGGCATGTCATAAAGTACAAATGGCCTTGTAAAACATGCAAAATTTTCTTCTATGTGACTTGTAATTAAATGAATGAAAATTAGAAGACACCATCTTTTCTACCAAGTAGCCAAAACTTTCAAAGAATAGCATGAGTATGAGAAACATGACCCTCACGTTCGGCTGATGGGAATACCATTTGTACAGCCTCTCTAAAGGCTGCCATGTAGCGTGCAATTTAGAAATTAGAGAATAATATGGGGTGAGGAATAATGTATCTTAAATGATTATTGTAGTGTTGCTTTAACAGATAGGTATTAAAATATAAAATGCACAGGGCCCTTGACCCAAGAATTCCTTCTTTAGAAATCTGTTTCAAGGAAACCATCTGTCCTGTGCATAAAAATGTATAGAGGAAAAATCTCTCCTATACAGCTGTTCAAGACAGTGAAAAACTGGAAATCACCACACACACACACACACATATGGCGGGGAGCCAAAAAAATGTGTATATACTCCAGCAGCTCGTGGTACTAACAAATGTCTGGAAGCTAATGGCTACCACTTTGGGCACTCATCACTGCAGAGGCTGAAGGAAGCTTGTATTAATCACATGATGTCTTAATAAATTTAGTATTAAAATATCTATACAAGTTTTTCTTTTCCTAATGCATCTATTTTTGGTGGGTTCTGGGTGTTTGTGTGTGTGTGTGTGTATATATATATAAAAGTTTATATATAGTTTGATATAAAAGTTTACATATAAAGTTTATATATAAAGTTTTATATATAAGTTTATACAGATATATAAATATATATATGTAAAATGGAATACTGTGCAGTCATTAAAATTTTCCTTAGATGGAAGGATGGTTATTATGCATTAAGTGAATAAAGGGTACTAACCACAATACACAGTTTTTGGTTTTAAAAACTGATCAATACTCATTTACATCTGGCATGGTAATAAGAAAGCCTACAAAGTCACACAGCACACTCTTACTACTACGTATCCCCAGATGCTGGGCTTGGGTTTTTTTTTTTTCTTCTTTGTTTTGCTCTGTGTTTAACAATGAATATATATTAAAAAATACTGACAGGAAAAGAAATTTCAACAGATGTCATAGTCAGTGTACAAGAAGTCAGTGCTAATGTGGTACTCCCTCAAATGTGTAATTTAAACATACAAATCTTACACATAAGTTTTTACCTTTTATAAGCCTTTTCACAGAGTCCAACTGCGTAATAAGAAGTATTTCTTCATTTTTTAATATCTCAAACTTAACCTCATATAGTTCCAACTGAATTTCATAATACTGTATCTCTAATTCATCTACAACATGCACGGTTTTTTTTCCTCGTTCTGGAAGATCTTCCATCTTGTTTTCATGCGAAGAGAAGAACAAATTAAAGCAGTGTATTAGTAACAAACTTTAGAATCACTGCAGCTCTTTTCTATTCTTTGCTCATACTAAATACAATAAAGTAAATAGGGCAGAAACACTTCCATTTCATGTGGTGAGACAAAAACACCTTATTTGGCGTTCACTGCAGTACTTTATATCATCTTTGAAACATGAAAACATCGAGTGTCTGAGAAAAGCAAGGACACGAGGCTCTGTCACGACTGGCCGTGTGTCCCGCCATGTCCTACGGTAAAGCTCAGCCCCAACGTGACAGCACTGGGGGCAGAGCCTTTGGAGGGAACTAGATGCCCAGCATGGTGGGATGAGCTCTCTTACTAGTGTTCCTTTCTTCTCTCCACGGACACACGCTGAGGAAGGACTATGAGCACATGGCAAGATGGTGGCCGTGTGCAAGCCAGGGAGAGGCCCTGAGGCACCTGACCGTGGACTCCGAGCCTCCAGAACGCGGAGAAGTAAGTGTCTGTGTCTGAGCCACCCAGCCTACAGTTCTGCCTTACAGCAGCCCAGGCTGAGGAAGAAGGCTATTTACAATGCTCTGCCCTGAAGTCCTAAGGTTACAGGAAGAAAATTCAGTGACTATGATCCTAGGAAGCAGCCTCACTCTGTGTTCTTCACACGGACCGGGACTGGGATGTGGCTCGGTAGTGCAGTGCTGGCTTAGCTGGTCCAGTCCCCAGTATCAGCACCAAGAAAAAGGTCTACTTAAAAATCACTGCTGGATGGATTTTCAAGCATCTTATCCCCTCCCTACTGGCTCAGTGTTAGAGGAAGTGAACCCTCCAAGAGAGTAGTTCAAGAGCGACTTGCCCACGAGGAAACTGATGGCCAACCCTCCACAGTCCCTAGAGTCTCTGCTAGAAAATGGCTTTGTGGTAAGTGAAGACGTTCATTCACAATGCCTGGCAAGAAAGGTGCTATTGAAGATAAAAGCGTATTTTTAAAATAAAGTTACATTGCATCTTTGTCATACCTTTCTCTGAATTTTAGTTCTTTTGTCGTTTAAACACAACTCTTTGGCTCTCATGAGTTGCAGGGTCTCTCGAGCAACCATGAGCTTCAAGTTCTCTAACCTGGGGGCGGCGGTGGCCCAGGCAGCCTGGCCAAATCTCTTGTTATCCGCTTCCATTTGTTTCTGCATTTCTATTGGGTTATAAGTAATAAAATAAAATCACAACTCATTGAAAAGGGCAGAACTTATCTTTAGCTAATCCTTTATTGCCTCCATGATTACCTGCAAAACATCATTTTTAAAAGAAACTGTTTCACTGTAACATTTTTTATTATCACAAAATATATGGTCATTGATATAAAAGGGATTCCATCCCAAAAAGACGGTAATAACTCAAGACCTACCTTGTTGAAGCAGCTGCTGCTTACGTTTTGCTACATATATTGTCATACTGTGTGTTTTGCTAGATAGAAGGGCTTATGGAGTCTGACAGAAACAAAGCAAAACAAAAGCAGGACCTTCACTCTACTTTACATCTTGCATATTTCACTTAATATATTATGAATTCCTATTTATTTAAGGAGTTACAGAGGCTCATGCTTACTAGCTATGTAGTTCTGTTTTGGGAATGTATCATATCCTAGCAAACTGACAAGCATGAAGACGCTCCTCTCTGGGGCTGTTATGGACAGTGCATGGACATTAGTCCCTCACCCCAGCTCCAACGCCCTTGGGTCTGGCCCCTGCTTGGCTCTCCAGCCTTCTCCCTCAAGCCATTCTCCCGCCTCGGGTCTGCCAGGCACCTTCAAGTCAGAGAAACTTTTCAGGGGCTCTTCCTTCCCCCGGAAGGCTGGCTCCTCTCAGCCTCCATGTTTCCTTCAGATACTGGGGCAAGTGCTCATTCCCATCTTGGCGACCACCCTGGTCAAGCCCGGTTCCTCTGTCACAGGCTCTCCGAGCCCCAGTCTCTCTTCTTCACCTTGCTGACTGCCCCTCATTCTCCCTGTGCTGAGTGACCAGGAAATGAGGACCGCTCTCCCCTCCCCACACTGTGGGCATCTGCGGATGCGATCCTCTTGAGTTCCCAGCACCTACAAGACAGCACGTGGCACCCTGATGCTTTCAGAATTAGAACTGCATGTATGTCAGTATAATATTATCACCTGTTAGTGCCTTCACTGTCTCCATAAAATAATTCACAGTGGTATCTTGAATAGAGGCAACAGCTTCTTCAGCCTGGCTCGTCCATTTTTGGGCTTCCTTCTGCAGGGCAGTGACCCTCTGAGGACCCAGCTCATCCTCATCCAGGGACTTCTGCAGAAAAAAAGGGGCAACAGTAATGCAGACCCATTAGAAAATTAAAGCACATTGGTCACTGGGTTGTTTAAACTACTTTTATTACTACTACTTAGTGAACTGAGTTTCCATCCATTCAGTGATCCCTGAGTACAAATGGCCTCTGAGCTGGATCTCCTGCAAGACAAAGGGCTTCTCTGGGCCTGAAGGAAAACTCTAGAATAGCTTTCCCTAGAGGGGAAACATGCTGCTTTCCTATTACTAACATAGTTGTTCGCATGAGATCGGCATTGCTAAGAACTCAGGCTACGGTCTGGCCCACGGCATTCTAGCTATGGCCATGATTTCTTTGAGGGACATGACAAGTAGCTCCTCAACACCATGTTTCTTCTTGGAAGGAAAAATGTAATATAATCTCCTAAATGACAGTAACAGCATGTCATTTAGGAGTTCGAGATTATGTTCAAGATTATGACATATCCTCCTATGGACTGCATGTTTGTGTCCCCCAAGTCATATGTTGAAACCTGAATCCCCAGTGTGATGGTATTAGGAGGTGAGGCATTTGGGGGTAATTAAGTCAGGAGGATTGCGTTCTCATGAACAGAATTAAGGCCTTTATATACAGAAGATGAGGCATAAGAGCGCTCTACCTCTGCTCCTCACCGTGTGAGGACACAGCCGGGCCTTCTACCAATGAGGAAACACAACCTCATCACACACTGCATCTGCTAGCACCCTTAGTCTTAGACTTTCCTGTCCCCAGAACTATGAAAAAAGTTTCTGCTGCTTATAAGCCCCGCCGCTACACACACACACACACACACACACACACACACACACAGACTGTCCAAACAACAGACTTCCAAAATACTGAAGACAACAACTTGATCCAGGCTAGAGTGGCCTGATTTCCACTAACTGTGCTCCCATCTTTACAGTACAGTAACCTGGCAGGGCCACGAGCCTGTGTGGGAGGCGGCCCAGGGTGCAGGCACAGAGCAAGAAACCTCCTGTCTTCGATTCCAGCCAGGGGGACTCAAGGCGAGACATGTAACTCTTGTGCACTCAGGTCCTTTCGCAGCCCTGGGATGATGATATGCCTTTTCTAAACAGGGCCACAGGCAATGAAATCAGAATTTGGACAGCATTTACTGAAGTTCAAATTACGGCATTGCAACCTCCAGCCCTGCTACTGAAAAGGTCGGCCTGTTTCTAAGAAACCTACATGTGTCCCTAGAGATGGAAAATAAACTAAAGTCAATCAACGTATCCCAAAAATACATCAGCCCAAAGGTATTTAATGCTTAATGCAGGATTCTTTGGTACTGAGAGGATCAACAATGCAAACATCATTTTTATCTTTTTTTTGGATGGGGGGGCTGCTAAGGATCAAGCCTGGATATGTTAAGCACCCCTGAGCTGTACCCCCAACCCCAATTCTTAAAATCAATTTTAAATATAAGCTCAACATATCTATAATATCATCTAAACATAAAGATGAACCCAAACAAAGCAAAAATATAGATGAACCTGAAATGTAGCTAAAGACATACTATGACAGACAGTAAATCTGATAAAAATATAAGGAGACATACCAAAATATTAAGCTTACTTGAAGTTGCAAGTTCTCGCATAACCCTGAACGGCTCCAGTAAATACTGGAAAAACGTGGTTGCACTCAGCACTAATTCCTGATATGCTTCATCTTCCTCTTGATAAAGTTCCATTAATGCTACCATGGTGTTGGTTTTTCCATGTCCTTGAAGAATCTAGAAGGCAAAATATAAAGGTCAGTGCTGGGCGTTATTTATAAAATCATACCAAACACAACTAAATAAAAGAAACCTAATGTTCTCAGCTTTAATACATCCATTTTAAATATCGATTGAATATGAAAATGTTGTCATGCACCTAAAATGTCAAATAAAACAAAATGGTATATCCACGGCAAAATATCTGCCATCAGTGAGCACTGTATTTTCAAAGACTATTTAAAAAGATGAGGACTTCTGTCATATTAAACAAGGAAAAAACAGAGCACAAAATTTTATGTCAACAGTGTACTAAGTTCACAGATAAGAGGACCCAAAAGAGATAAATATTACCAGCAGTTATCTTCAGGTCCCATATGGTGGGTGGTGTGTCTTCATTTGACTTGTCTGACTGTAAAGAAGCGTACTTCTTTCTAAATACTCAAGAAGACACTCTAGAGATATCACAAGGACTTCCTCAGCAAGTTGATACCCTTCCTTCCCCAGGTTCATATCCTGCCTGGCCACCAGCAGAGTGTACCTATTTATGGAGCCTGCACTGCTGCTCTCGTGCCTGCTAAGCACAGCTTCTAATATAGGCCAGAAAATACACTGATCAGCTTATAATCCAGGTGAACCTGTGTGCTAAGAAATGACCTTCCCCACTGAAGAAGAGAGACCAGAGGAAAAAAATGGCAGAGTGGTGACTGGTAGCAAAATTTGGTGTCTCCAAGATCTGGAATACCACCATTCAAAAATAACAACTTGGCACAGAAAAGAAGATCAGGAATCTGGAATGAACTTAAAGGAAAATTTAGAAACTACAGAGAAGTGGAAAGAAGGTCCACAATGCGAAGGAAAAAAAGGAAACAACTGAGGCTCTTTCCCCAACTCCCATGGCTCATGGAGAGAAGGGCTCCCCAGAAGCAAACTGGGAGAGAGAGCCATAGGAGACAGCAGGGAGAACGCTAGAAAAAGATCCCCAGAGAAGCTGAAGCCCAGGCCAGGAAAGGCGCAGGCCCCAGCCCCGGAAGTGAGGAGCCAGGCCCAGCTGAGTGGTGCTGTGCGAAAGGGCCTGTGGGCTTTAATGCTTCAATTGCCTGCACGCAGCACAAAGCCGAGGACTGGGGTCTCCCCTGTGCAGCAGTGTGCTGGGTACCCACAGGGGCCTCTGGGATAGGGGCACCTCACACACCCACAGGCCGCGAGGCTGGGTGGAGAAAACCAAGACTTGCTGGGCTCCAAAACTGCAGATGCTGGAGGAAAGCACTTATTTAAAAATAGAGAAAAAAACTTATTTTGTTTGGGACTCATTTTCTTTCTTCTTTTTTTCCTCCTTTTCTTTTTCTTTTTAATTTTTAAATTTTTATTCTCATTATTTTTCCCTTTTTTGTTTTACTTTTCTTTTTTTCAGCTACCTTTAATTCTGTAACTCTCCTTCTCTCCATAAGAAAATTCTTTGCCTCACTTTTCTCTCCTCCTTCTCATCTCCCACTGTTCAATTTTTCAAATTTTTCTTTTTGCATCTTCGCATTGCCAACCCCTACATATTTAATAGTACAAATGGACTTTTATTAATCTTTTGATACTTAACTATGGTACTACTGTTGAGTTCTTTTCTATCATTAATGGAAATGTAGTTATTGCAGTTAGCAGATATTTGCTGTATGCCAATATCTGGTCTGTCTTAGGGTTTATGCTAAAATAGGTTTCTTTTCTAGGGTTAAGGGTGGTACATTTTTGGTTCTTATGGCATGGCAGTAACCAGTTTGTGTTGGATGATATTACTGTTGCTAACTTACTTCATACTGCCAGGGTCATGAGGTTAGTAATAGGTTTTCTCTGTGTGCCAATACCTGGAGTATCTTTATGACACTGACAAAAATGCAGTCCATTCCCAGAAAACTGGGTGCTAAGCCAACACACCGCATTGTCCCTCCCATATAAACACAGGTGACCAGATCTTGGGACAGAGGCAAAAGACTAAGGTTAGCCACACACTGAGTGCATCACTGGAAAGTAGACTAAATAAAGAACTTTCCATACTAGCAACATGGTCTTTCCACTAGAAGCACCTGCATATCTATGCACAAAACAAAACAAACTAAAAAAACCACAAAACAATAGGAACATGAGAAGACAAGGGAACAAAATGACTCCAGAAACTCCCAACTCCCACCTAAGCCGATCCATTAGGCATTGAGAAGGAAAGTGAAAAACCACACAGGTAAATTATGTGAAAAGATAACAGAGGAGACTAAAACAGATCGGTGAAATCCTCCATGGGCTAACAGAAAATATAACCAATCAGATAATGGAAGTAATAATCAGGGAGCGTCCAGAAGACACAAATAAAAGCTAGCTCATCTAAACAAAACGATACAAAATATGAATGACCAGTTTAGCAAAGAACTAGAGTCCATGAAAAGATTTCAAACAGAAATCCAGGAAATTAAGTTATATTAAAAGTATGGGCAAGGGGCTGGGGATTTAGCTCAGCGGCAAAAGCACCTGCCTGGCAAGCGCAAGGTCGTGAGTTCAGTTCCCAGTACCGGAGAAAAACCAAAAAAACAAAAAATAAAAAAATAAAAATAAAAGTATGGGCAGCAGAAGTGCTAGACCATAAAGCATGCTTAAGTAAATACAAAGAATAAGAGTTATCCCGTGCATATTATCAGATCACAGTGCAATGAAACTAGAAATCAGTGGCAAAAGAAGCCACGGAAATTATGCAAACAAATGGAAATTAAACAACACTCTTGAATAATCAGTGAGTCACAGAAGAAATGAGTTTCTAGACTCAAACAATAAAGGCAGTACAACATACCAGAACCTATGGACACAATGAAAGCAGTCCTAAAAGGGAGGTTTATAGTTGTGAATGCCCACATCAAAATAACACAGCAAGCACAAATACAGTATATTCCTGACTTAGGAACATTTGAGTTGCGAACTTTCACAGATATGGACGGACCTCGCATTATGAACGTTCCTAGATGCAAACCAATCACAGAAGTAGCTCAAGTGTCTGCCGGACAGTGTCACAGTTGTGCTGCTGTGTGCTCACTGTACAGTGTAACAGTGTACAGTAGTACAGTGCTCAATCAGTGCCCAAGAGTTTGTCTACCGCAGTGACAGCAAACCTTTAGAGCTTTCAATGATACAGTCCGCTGTGGCACGCGTGCCATAGGTTTGCCACCACTGCCCTAGCCAATATTACAACACAAAAAGGACAGAAAAGACCAAATAAATGCAATTAGAAATGGAAAAGATAAAATCACAACCGAATCTGCCGAAATCAAGATTATTAGTATGTATAATGGTACCTCAGTCTATAAATTTAATTTGTTTTATGATTTTGGGGAAGATGGGTGCATTTGTGTTTGTGTGGCAAATATGGCCATTGTTGTGTTGTCATCCAGTATGGAGTTTGTGAACAGAAGCAAAATTTTGCCAAATACTTTTGTTTGTGAACCAAATTGTTCACAAACAGAAGCATTTATGAACCAAAGTATTATAGTACTTTGGGAACCTGTACTCTAATAAAATGGAGAATTCAGAATAGATTCCTAGATACATATGCATTACCAAAGCTGAACCACGAAGACATGAAAATACTAAATAATCCAATCTTACCAGGCAAAGAGATTGAAGTAAAAAAACTACCAACAAAAGTGCAGATCCTGATGGACTCACTCCCCAATTCAAGAACTTTAGGAAAGATCTGATAAACACTCTTCAGACTCTTTAATGAAAAAGAAAAGGAAGGAGTGCTCCCAAAGTCATTCCTGGAATCACTGCCCTGATGCCAAAACCAGAAAAAGAGTCAACAAAAGAAGAAAACTACAGGCTAGTCTTTTAAATCAACACTGATGCAAAAATCCTCAACAAGATACTGGCAGGCTGGATGCAACAAACCATCTAAAAGAACATCTATCATGACCAAGTAGGATTCATCCCAGGGAGGCAGGGATGGCCCAACATACACAAATCAATAAATGTAATGCACCACAAAAACAGAAGCAGCAACAAAACTCCCATTATCTCAGTTGACTGAGAAAAACCCTTTGATAAAATCCAACATCCATATGATACAAACCATGAAGAAAATAGGTATAGAAAATCTTTATCGCAATCTGATAAAAGCCATATATGACAAATCAATAGCCAACAACATATTAAATAAGAAGAAGCTGAAAGTTTCCCCTCTATAATCAGGAGCAAGACAAGGTTGTCTGCAATCACCACTACTGTTTGATACACTTATCAAAACATTAGCCAGAGAAATCAGGAGAGAGAAAGAATCAAAAGGAATACGTATAGGAAAGAAAAAGTCAATTTATCATTATCTGCAGATGACATGATCCTCTCCATGGAAGACCCAAAAACTTTCACCAAAAGACTCCCAGAATTAATACTCAAATTCAGTAGTGCAGGGGCTGGGGATTTAGCTCAGCAGCAAAAGCGCCTGCCTCGCAAGCGCAAGGTTGTGAGTTCGGTTCCCGGTACCGGAAAAAAACCAAAAAAAAAAAAACAAATTCAGTAGTGCAGTAGGGTACAAAGTCAACACACAAAAAATTAACAGTGTTCCTATGCACCAATAATAAACTCACCAAGAATGAAATTAAGAGGAAAAAAAGACTTTCACAGTAGCATCAAAAAAAGTTAAATACTTAGGAATTAACCTAACCAAGGAAGTGAAAGATCTCTACTATAAAACTAGAAAGATCTCTACAATAAAAACTACAGTACTCTGAAAAAGATTGAAGAGGACATCTGAAAATGGAAAGATATCCCCTATTCCTGGATAAGCAGAACAAATATACTCAAAATAACAATATTTCCAAAATTGATATGCAGATTTAATGGAATCCCAGTCAAAATACCAATAGCATTCCTCACAGAAGTAGAGAAAACAATCCTAAATTTCATATGGAATCAGAAATTCATGGTTTGTGTCTGGATGCCCCCCCCTAAAGCTCCCTGTGGTCGTGAGGGCAGGGCAGGGGGGTTCAGAGGTGGCTGAATCTAGAGTTTGTGATTGGTTCCTGGTCTAGTGCTGGGATTAGGGATGTGAGTGCTACACCGCCCCGGGTGGGTATCCTACATACAATAAAAGAGGCAGAAAGAGGCTAGTTTCCTTCCTTTTTGCTCTTTTTGCTTTTGGTATCTTCTACCACCATGAACTACTGCCCCTCTGCCATGTGCCACCCTGCCTTGGAGCCAGGTGATTATGGACCAAAACCTCTCCAAACTATCACTAAAAAAATCTTTCTCCCTTAATTTGGGGCATCGGGTATTTTGTCTCAGCAATGAGAAAAGTAACTAAGACAGACCCAGAATAACAAAAGCAATCCTCGGCAACAAGTGCAAGGCAGGGGGCATCACAACCCCAGACTTCAAGTTATGCTACAAAGCTCCAGTGATAAAAACAGCATAGTAGGGCTGGGGATACAGCTCAGCACACAGGGCCTGTCTGGCAAGCACAAGGTCCTGCGTTTGATTCCCGGTACAAAAAAAAAAAAAACCAAACCAAAACAGTAACAAAAAACCCAGCATGGTATTGGCAAAAAGCAGCCATGTGCATCAACAGAACAGAATGAGAGGATACAGAAAAAACTCCAAGCACATTCAGATGCCTGATCTTTGACAAAAAGGCAAAAATTTAACAATGGAGGAAAGACAGCCTCTTTACCAAATGGTGCTGGGATAAATGGCTCTCCACGTATAGACTGAATCTAGACCCACATCTCTCACCATGTACTAAACTAAAATCAAGATGAATCAAAATCTGTATATTACAACAGAAATGCTTAATTTGATGAAGATAAAACAAGGAAAACCTTCAAAGACATATGTGGAGGCAAGGACTTCCTGCACAGAACCCCAATGGCACAAGAAATAAAGGCAAGAATCAACATATGGGATCACGGCAATTATAAAGCTTCTGCACAGCAAAGGAAACAACCAACACAGAATGGAGATGACCTACAAGATGGAAAAAAAATTCTGCCAGAGAGAGAACTAATATCTAGAATACATTAAAAACTCAACAGTATTAGACCCCCCAAAAATAAAAGATCCAATTAAAAAATGGGCAACTGAAATGAACAGACACTTCTCATAAAAATAAATAAAAATGGTCAATAAACACATGAAAATACGTTTAGCATCTCTGGCCTTTAGAGAAATGCAAATTAAAACAACACTAAGATTCCATCTTACTCCAGAATGAATGGCCAAGCCTGGGCTACAAAGTGAGTTCAAGGCCAGCCTGAACTGCATCGTGAAACCCTGTCTCTGGGGAAAAAAAAAAAAGAAGCAGAATGAATGGCCATCATCAACAGATAACAACAAATGCCGGTGAGGCTATTGTGGGGAATGAGGAACCTTCTCCACTGGGTGGGAAGGTTAAACTAGTACAGCTATGGAAATCAGTATGGAGGCTCCTCAAAAACTAAAATCAGAAATTCCATTTATCCCAGCAATTCTTCCAGTTATCTTCCTGAAAAGATTAAAGTCATCATATCACAGTGATAAACGCACACCCATGTTAATAGCAGCACAACTCATAACAGCTGAATCTTAGAAATAGCCTCTATGTCCATCAACAGATGAATGGCTAAAGAAAATGTGGTGTTATATGCAATGGAGCACTACTCTGCCATAAAGAAGGATAAACTTGAGTCATTTGTAGAATGAATGCACCTTGAGATCATAATGTTAAGTGAAACACATCTGACACAGGAACTTAAATATCACATGGATTCTTCTATATGAGAAACCCAAAATATAAAGAGCAATATAAATAATAAAGAGCAAAATAAAAGATAAGAGGAAATAGGGAGACAGATCTTTGGCATGGGAAGGGAACTGAGAGATGGAGGGAAGGGAGAGGAGAAAGGGGATAAAAAAAATTAAGATATGTACCAACTTGCCATGAGGAATGTGATCATCATGTACTACAAACATGTACTAATTTTTTAAAGAGAAAATCAAGTAATAGGTTTTTTTTAAACCAATACATTCTTAAAGTCTTCTATTTCCATTCTTCTCCTAAAGGATAAACTGATCTAATCTCATATATGGTTTTATCCAGGTCAGTAGTGTTTTAGAGAGAAGAAAAGAAAAGTTCCCCAATCAAAATTAAAACACACTGACACAAATGTAAAAAGGCAACTGGCACATTTCAGCCTTACTTCTTAAACTATTCAGAAAAAAATCCAGAGTCAAAACATTTAGCTAAATTTTATACCTTCTAGCCCATACAAATTCTGAAATCGATTTCCTTTCTGTTCTAAATGAGTATTAAGAATAGATACACTTCCATGGACACGGTAGGTTTTGTATTTTAACCCTTCCACCCATTTCTGAGCTTCAGATAAACAGGTGAATTAAAGGGTGTGACCAGCTAGCTCAGAGTATGAACTTTACGCTCTCACGCTTAATACCTCTGAATAAACTTCAGCTTGGAAGAAGTTTAATGAGAAACTATTTCTCTCTGTAAGAAATCATTATCAAAAATCAAGTCTGATAAGAAATGATCAAGGGGCTCAAACGCTGATTGGCCTCAATCCCTGTAGTCTCATACTGTAAAGTAAAATCAAGACGGAAGTGGGTGTGTGGTCATCGACACACAGAACCCACATCAAATGACCCCTCTAACAGCTACGTTTTTAAAACCACGTTAGTTTAAAAGCCACATCCTCCTCTACGGCATTCCGTCTCCATCCTGGAGAACCTAGGTCGGCTTCCCCTCGTTCCGCGGTATCCTCGTCCACAGGCAGAGCCCGGAACCCAGCCCCCACCCCGCACGCGGCCCCGCGCCCTCCTCCGGGCGCCCGC